AGTGTCTCCTTGGCGGGTGCGCGGCCTTCCAGGTGCTTCGCGCAATGGTTCCCTGCAGGGGCGTTGGTCGACGTTTGTTGCAGCAGCGTTGGCCTGGTAAAGGCGGCCTAGAGTGGAAAGCAGGCCGACGACTGCTCCGTTGTGGTGCGAGAGAGGCGACCGACGTTGGTGGATTTGATTTGAATAAGGCGCTGCTGGAGCAGGCAGTGGCCCGCTGCCCGTCAACCGGGTCTAGGGAACAGACGCGGACCGGAATAGAGTCCGGAAAGGCATAGGCGTAGGCGAGCACGAAGTGAGACTGTGGAGTTGGAGTGCAGTTGCAACTTGCAGCAGCATCGGGGGCTGCTGCACTGCTCAATTGGACATGACACACGAAGCCATTGGCGGATTATGTCCGAGCAACGTGTGTTGTGTGTTGCGAGCCGTTCTTGTGTAAGGTATCATCCGTCCTTGGCAAGCTTGCCTGGATGGTTGGGTGAATGGTGACTCGGTGATGGTGCAGGTGTAAGTGGGAGTGGTTCTGATTCTGGCTGTCGATGGCAGTGAGGTTTGTATGGCGGGGGGAATGCGCAAAGTCGATATTCTGTGTGCGCTCGCTTCCCATGCAGCTCGCTGCGCCGCACGACAAGATTTTGTTGGAAGTATCCGTAGTCGAGTAAGCAGACAGGGAATCAGCCAAGCAAGGTCAACGAGTCGAGAGGTCGTCTTGGAAATGGACCGTTGCAAGTGTCCGAGATGGAGACTGTGGCCCGGGGAACGTCTTCCTGTTCCTGGAAGGGGGCGGGCAGAACCTGCACCGAGCAGAAGCAGAAGCAGGCGGACCGGCGGTCAAAGTTGGAACAGACGAATGAAGAGGCGAAGAATGAGTTGGCTGGTCCAGGGCGGACTCGTCTGGATCCGCTGGTGAAAGTCGGGTACCTCTGAGGTATTAGATTTTACCTCGTCTGGTTGTGGGAGTTGCTGCGGCTGGATGGAGACGAGCAGCAACACACCCTGCAATTCCCGTCGTTGGCGGCCAGGAGCAGTTTGTCGCCCCTTCCTTTCTGTGCGAGAGCAGAGCCGAGCCGAGCGAGCTGAACTCATGGCGGTGCAGGAACAAGAAAGCAATTGGACGGATTGGATCACGGGATGCAAGCAAGGCAGGGAAGAAGACTGACTGCCTTAGGTTCCGGCCTCACTTACTCCTCTAGACATGGAAAGACCTACATACGCATCCGTAGAGTCCATGTTCTTGCCTCCGAGAGGAAGAATCTTATCGTACCGGCCTCACGTGGCGATAGGCGGACGCACTTGCAGCTCCACATTCACCGCACACTTCATGATTCTAAGCGGAAGTCACCACAGAGTGCAGGCAGTTGCAGTCGCAGTCGCAGTTGCTGTTGCAATTGCACTTGTCACATCCACCAGCAGGAGCAGCGGCTTCCCTTCCTCCTCTCCCCTTCCCTTCCTTTCCCTCCACAGAAAGAAGGCGGTTGCATCGGGTGTTGGCCAGGTGCCGCCCCTTCCATTTCGTGCCATTCATGGAATAAGGTACATACATACCCAGGGCAGGTAAGGTATCCGTAGTTCTTGCCGTGATTTGAGGAAATCAAAAGCAAACGGAAACAACGATTCAATGGGCCTGTCTGGAAGTAAGGTACCTTCCGTAGGTATCTCAGGTGCGCACGCACACCTTCGGTAAAGGCCAAAAAAGTAAAGGCAACTTCAAGTGCAGCGTGGTATCCAATCCAATCCCTTCCTTGGACCTGCCGCGGAGGGTCTACCCAGACAGAGTTCCTGACCGAGATCTCAAATGTGATGCGATTGCTGTCGCTCTCACCTCACCGGCCTGCAATCTGCAACCGCTGCACCTGGTCTTCTAAATCGACCTCGCCCATCATTGGCAATGCAACACTGGCCTCAATTTCTGGCCCTACCCCTCACCAACCACAACCAATCGCGCATCGACGGGAGATACCAGGTCGCCAGAGACTCCAACGACATGACACGGGACTCTCGTCACTGGCCCCATCGACGTCCTCTCCTCCAGGTCCCGTCTGGTACCGTCAACCACCTCCAGTCTTGTTGCTCCTTGACCTCCATCCACTCATCTAGGGCCTGCTTACGCCCCCAGAGATCTCCGTTTGTTGCCGGGTTCTGAGCGGGACGACGCCCACGCTCACTCGCCAGGGACATGGACATGGACAAGCCCTTGGTGCTGGACATGCCCAGGGTCCAGTCCAATCGACCAGTCACTGGATCAGCCAGCCATGTCGCCGAGCGAAACACCTCGTTGGCGTCGCCCATGGCATGGCCCTCGCACTGCAACCGCAACCGCAAATCTGCCCCCGTTATTGGAGTCTCTCTCCAACATATGGTCCATCGATGGTGCATCTGTCCCAATGCCAACCGACATGTCAAGGAATGTCCCGGCCCGCTGAAGATCATCCTCGTGCCTGACGGCAAAACACTGGACGATATCCCACTACCCCTACTAGAGAGTCTAGAGACCTAGAGAAGCCGCAAGAGTCGAAAGGGAGCCGAGGGTTCAAGCTGGACCTGCATCTGAACCGCTGCCATTCAATTTACGAGTCAGTATCCAGGACTCAGATGCGCGCGAATTCTTTCTTTTTCCAAAACACGCGGGACGATTTGACAACTCTGGGAGTTGTCCGCATGAGACAAGCCGCGCCACGCGTTGCGTCGCCTTGAAGGCGTTGGGGCGTCGATAGCCACCACCTTACACTCGGAGGCCGCTACAGAAGCCTCAGGTCTGGCACTAGACTCATGCCCAATATCAGATTCCTCCTGGTGTCTCTTCATCACCCCAGATTGGTATCTTCCCTCGCTATCAAGCCGTCATCCTCCCGCGTCGGGTACTTGTTGTCTGCCCTAGGACTTCGTGAGCTTTAGGCACCAAGACAACGACGTCCCTGGATTCACATGGCGGCCATCATCTCGGCGAGTCCATCAGCGACATGGTTCACTTCCATTCTGGGAAATCCGACGAGACAAGCTAGACGCCCATGCCTTGGCACGAAGCAACAAACGGGAAGCCTCCATTAACTTGTCGTTGCAATCACGGTGAAGTGCGGCTCACCGAGCCAATCCAGACGTGGCGGCGGCGACATCAACGCAATGCTATGCCATGCGACGGCCTGCACATGACGGCTGCCCCTCGTAGACCTTGTTTCAAGACGAGGGTTCCTGGCTCAAGTTGGGTGCGAAAGGATCGGCGCGTCCATCCCGAGGTCCCTAGTTCGCAGGCCATCGTACCTTTGCAGATACGGATACACGACAGGACGCCTACCTTCGGTCGGTGCGGATAGGTAGTCGCGACATGTTGTCTCCGGTTCTGCGGTCTGCGGTCATTGTTGCGACAAGGCCTGCTGGGTATTGGAGATTAGAGATCCCAACCCCAAGTCATGACGCCGTCCTCGGTCCTTAGTCACGTCTTATTATCACGGCAAGCAATCAACATGGACATGGCTCCCCGGGAGAGGGGACGGGGCAACTTGAGCACCTTTTTCACATATGCGCCGCCAGGCAGGTTGGCTGCGGTTCGACTACCACGCGGGACGTCTGGATCAGATCAAGTACAGACCACGGGCGCTGTCGATTGGCCAGCTGCAGGGACGACGTCGCCTCAAGCTCCGCATCTCACCAAAATTGCATTAACAACGGACGTGGGACGCCATGTATGTAGCTGCAGACGCAGTGTGCGCGCACAGGCACAGAAGCCAGCCCAGGAGGAGACACAGGATAGTGGCCGCTACAAAAGTAAAGTCTCCCAGGTTCTGCGCGTGCAGCGGTCGCACAGAACCGGCCCAGCCAACCCCGGCCAAGCGCCCAGCCTATTCGTCCAGATTCTCTGGGCTGCAGCAGTTCTGACCAGCAGGGCCCATGTCGCTGGCACCTCGTCCACACCTCTCTCGCTGCAGCTGCAGCTGGTGGACGAACGAGAAGGATTCTATTCGCACGGATACCAAACTCTCCATCATTCTTCATCCGTGAAAAAAGGTTGGGGACAGGTTGGGTCAGTCACTTCTCAGAGAGCATCTACTGCCAAACAAACTCTGGGACGCAGTAAGCAGGCAGGCAGAGCGGTAGAGGGGGAGAGAGGGAAAGACGATATGTCGGGAGCAAACAAGTGACAACCAAACACCAGGCATCAAACAACCCCCAATCGATGAATGTCGTCGTCACTTGCCGTCCATGCCGCAAAGATTCAGAGCACGGTGCTGCAGCCAACATTCTCCAGATTTAGACCTAGAACCAGACCCAGACTCAAACCCAGAACCTTCAGACCAAGACCCCAGACCAAGACAAACAGAATCAGAAAGACTCAGCCATACAGAGACATCAGCCAGTCACCTCAACCAACCTAGGAGCACTAACCACGCCCTCCGTCCCCATTGGATCCGCCCGTTCTGTGCAGTCTTCCGTCCGGGCACCGCTACCGCTGTCTATCCGGGCAGCATTCGTTCGTACCGCCAGGTACTTCCCGTCTCCTCCCTCACCTAGTCCCGTCACCTTCAACAAGGGCACGCACTCGTACATCACCTTGTCACCTTGTCGACCTTATCCGCATACACGCCCATCTCACCTCAGGTTGATGAGCGTCGACTGCTACAAGCCTGCCCGCCCGCCTGGCCGTACCGTCCCATCACACCATTGTTTTGTCTGTCACGGCACCTGCCCCCACCTCTATTACCTACGCATCCGAACTTCCCCAGCCACCGTCGTCTTACTAGCAGCTTCGGACTGTCGCCCTTCTGAGGCCTAGAGGGGCAGACAGACACACCACCTACTAGCAGGCAGAGCAGAGCAGTACCTCATCCAAACATCTGCCTTGTTCCAACCTCAACTCCTACTGGCGCTGTTTCTCCAAGTATCTGTGTACCTGCCTACCTCTATTGCTCACGGCTCACGCAACTAACCCTGCCGGCCTTAACCCTACCATACCTTACCTTGCCGACCTGACTTTCACCTTGCCTTACCTTGCCCTCTTTATCCGCAGCTACCTGGCGCTATCGACCGGCCTCTGCTTCCTCCCTCTCTCAACCTGTATCAGAGTCCAAGGCCCTTCACCACCACCCGCCAACGCCGCCGACGCCGCCTCCGCCGCTGCCCAGAACGCGGCACCACGCCCACTGCTACTAGGTACCTCCCCTGTGCCTCAGGGATCCACCCCACCACAAGCATCCAGATCTCCGAAGCTTCTCTGCAAGCCCTGCCGCTACCGACCTTGCCCACTCCCACGCAACCCTCAACTCGCTGCTGAGACGAACTAGGAAGCTCTGCGCTGCAGCTGCGAGAGCCGTTCCCCTTCAAAATGTCAATAAAGTACGTCCCTCCGTGTCCGGTCCTGTCCTATGCCTCTACTCCTGCCTCTGCCTCTGCCTCTGCTTCCCCTTCACCCTTCCGTCCCACGCCGCCCAAGCCCCATCATCACGCCGGCATCCCGGTCAGAATCCGTGGTACCCCGCCGTTGACCTCTTCTGCTCGCTCTCCCACCCCACACGGTCCCCGTCCACCATGACGGACCAGTATCTGCAAGAGCAGCACGCCCTTACCATTGCCCGCACCGTCCAGAGGGAACGAGAGCTCGCCCAGGCCCGACTGGATTCTGACCATGGTGATAGTTGGGTCATGATCACCCAGACGGGTGATATCAACCCTCTACCTCACGAGCACATCAGACACAGGTCCAATGCGAAAATCAGCCTCGACCTGTCTGTACCCAAGGCTTTGCAACAAGGCCGGACCCCATTCACACAAAAAAGCAGTGATGGGACGGTATACATCACAACGCAACGGGTACGTAATTCGCGATGGCCCCCCAAAACATGGCGCTGGCTGACGAGCTCTTTCCAGGTTATCTACATTCCCGCAAGGCCAACCCCCGAGTTCAAGTCGTTTCACGCGCCTATTCTCAACTGTGTCGACACGTATGTGGGCTCGCCATTCTTCGGCGCTTGGTACTGGTCTGCCACCGTCGTGCCGGTCCCTGGAGGCGGCGTACCTGCCGACATTCCGAGGGTCGAGCTGAAGCTGAGCTTCAAGGAGGGAGGACACAGCGAGTTCAGACAGAGGTTCGAGGAGCTGAAGGAGCGATTGGAGCACGTCAGGCGACTACAGCAGGAGACGGGACAAACGGTCAACATCCCGGACGAGCCGCTGCCAGCGTACGAGGCGACGGAGGGCGGAGGCGCCGAAGCATCGAGCAACCTCGCCCCTCAGCAGCCGGTGAGCAGGTCAGCAAGCTCGGGCAGCCAGAACCGACGACCGGACGAGCCGCCACCAGATTACGACGAGGCGCAGGCGCAGACGCTCAGCATGCGACTCGAAGACCACATTCGCGAGGAGTCGGACAGATCATGATGGGTTGCCGGGACGGCTCACGACTTGACGTTTTGCATCGATACCTTGCTGCATTCCGCTCCCTACAGAATTGTACTTTTTTTCGTTTTACTTTCCTTCTCCTGACAGCATCTACACTAGCGGCGGCGGAACCTGTGTTTCTTAACGAACATCAAAGTAGAGAATGGATATGGCCAAGCAGACGGTGCATGCCCAGGGGCAACGGGCACTTCTATTGTACGTACGGTGACTTGTAAGAAATAGCTGGTCGGGACCGCCACGACCGGCTCTAACGTTGGAGCTTGTACGCAAGCATGCGCGACCACGCGATAACTTTTCCTGTCTGGCCGCGCTGCGCAGCGTTTTTCATGTGACGGTGACAGTACATAGCTTGGAGCTTTGAACCACGAAAAAACTGAGGCGCGACATGCAGTGCACTGAAGGTGGTGGCAGCTGGCGAGTGATGTGGCTGGCGCTGCTGGTGCTGGCATGTGGCTGCACCTCAGCTTTCCGCTTAGTCATTCGTCAATGAGCCATTCCACCGCAGCCAATCAAAAGCGACCAATTGGGAATAACTTACGAGCCGATTCAGACACCCAGTTTTCGTCCTCAACCAGCCGAAAGCTCCCGACCACCTTTTCCATCCACCCCATCTACGACGACATCACGTCAAGCCATTGAGTGAGCCGCACAACCTCTGCCACAATGGGTATCTGGGACACCATCACCGACCTCGCCGAGGCCGCCATGCCGTGGGCCACCGTCGAGGCCGAGGCTCCTGCCGCCGAAGAGGTGAGAGAAAAAAAAAAATAAGATACGAGCCTTCTGCGCAAATTGTTGCCGTGGCCCGGGGTGAAAGGGCGACCCTTGCGGTTCTCGAACGATCTCGATCACGCAGGCTGCGGCAGCTATTTTGTGCAGTTGCAGTGCCACAGGGCGTCCGCTAACCATGTCCGCAGGAGGAGACCCCCGCCGAGGAGGCCAAGGAGGACGAGGAGGAGGAAGAAGAGGAGGAGGAGGAAGAGGAGGACGATGACGAGGTTGTCGACCCCAAGGACACCATCGAGGAAGGTCGGTTTTCTTACCCCGCCCCCCGCGGTCGAACCCGAATCTACGCATCGCGATATACCAGTCGATGACGCACATGAGCAATTTTGCGTACATGCCGCAATATAGATGCGGACGTCATCGGATCACCGCGCAGACGGACTGAAATAACATCGCAATGGAGAATATAAGAAATACTGACGTTTGGGCGTGTGCAGCGTGCAAGGAGTCCAAGGCTTGCGCACCGGCCAAGCATCACTACGACGAGTGCGTCGAGCGCGTCACGGCGGCCGCCGATTCCGAGGACGGTGCCCAGGAGGACTGCGTTGAGGAGTGTAAGTTGCGAGACGGATGCTCGCCAGCATCCCCAGAACATCAAAGGGCCGTCGAACAGGACCATGGCTGACATGTTCCCTAGTCTTCCACCTCGCCCACTGCGCCACCCAATGCGCCGCCCCCAAGCTCTGGGCCCAGCTCAAGTAAACGTGCCTTCGCATGTCACGATAATCAGCGGTCGTCGGCGAAGTTTCGTGTCACGGTGTCGGTCATAACGACACCAACGGGAGCGGCATCGGCATTTAGATCTTGATAGAAGGTGTGGGCCGCAACGATGTGAAGACGTGGTGGCTGATGCCGCGACGAGACGGAGACGACCGTTTCAGCAAAGCACAATCGTCGGTCCCGCCTCCTCCCCTCCCCCCGCCGGCGGGATCGACAAATCTGTATCGCAATAGGTGTGTGCGTCGAGCTTGGCCTGCGGCTCTGTTACGGGCCCGGCCGGCTTGATGCGGCGCCAGAACCCCCTTGTCTTTTGTACCATAGGCATCGCCCGCAATAGATTCCTCTTGATTTACTCGCGGCCATGTGCATGGTGAGAAGCACTGTCGTCGAGAGCAATGGTTTTTTTCCCCCCCGTCAGGCTTGAATCAGGGTTGCTCGGCAGGCTTTGGTGAGATGAGATGATGATCTATCAGTGATCACTCGATCAACTACAGATTGAGAGTGACGACTCGTGAGATTTCGATCTGGCCAGAAACGTTATTCGCCATGAGATATCAGAGCTCGAGACATCACGACCGCAAAACCGAATCTGGAAACTCGTATGATTACCTGGAGTAGCTGCAGAAGGTAGATCCATTCAGAGCAAGCCTAACGAGCAAGAATGGCGCGATGAAGGAGTGAAGCAATGGAGTCGATGCTAGGGCATCTGCTGCCCTGCGGCAAAGCACCGCAACAGCGGCCTCTATCAAGAGAAATCTCACACCAAAAGTCCTCCCAAAACGTCTTCAGATATGGGACATATTCGTTCCTGATATCAATCGTTCTGCAACGACCTCCAAAATAAAGCAACTCCATATCGACAGCACCATGCAGTTGCCGTCGTAGCAATGGCGCACAGGGTCCAGACCAGGCACATCAAAAAAGAACTTCAGTCTTCGGCAAGCCTGCCGTTCCCTGCTGACCCTCCTCCCTCCAGGTTCCGTCCGTCCCTCCGCCCGGAACCCTCCCCAAAAGCGATCAAATCGGCCGAGAAGCGGGCCAATCACGCAAGCCGGCCCCCGGTCTCGTTCCCCGCAACGTCGAGCTGGTTATGCCCGTTTAGGCCCGTCGCAGGACTTCGGTTCCAGCCAACGGACGTCTTCTGCGACGGGCCATCTGACGCCCCAATCTCCTCGGCCCTGAGTGTGCTGGTGGTGGTTGGATTGTTCTGCAGGTGGTTTCATTACACGACATGTGAAGCGTGAGCATCTTATCTCTCTCTCTCTCCCTCTCCAGCCCGCCACACCATACGAAAGAATGTCAAGCATTTTGGGTTTCTGGCAGCGGTTCGAGTGTCTTTATGCACCGGTTCGTGTCAGCGATCATGGTCCATCCCCTTTCGCATGAACATGAACAACCTACCCTAAAGCCGTTCCGCCTCAGTTATCTCCTTAGTCCCTGAGATATAGGTTTTTCTGGCCCGCCCCACAGTACCTACGAAAAAAAGCCACTAAATTATAACTAGTTAGCATTATTAGTATAGGTACTTCTCTTTTGCTATTAAAACTATATTTTTTAAATACTAAGTACTTCTAACTAGACTTAGTAATACTTACCTATTTTTTTAAGCCTATTAGAGATATCTACGTACTAATAATATAGGGATTAATCCTACTACTATTATTACTATAACTTATAATTACCCCTCACTTTATATATTAAAAAATCTACTAAAATTTACTATAATAGATTAACTAATTAAATTATTTAATCTATATAACTCTAAAGTTAACTATTATAATAAATTTAAGCTATTTAACCCTCTAATTAAGTTTTTTTATAATCCTATTAGTATTAATATTATTAATAACTCTTTCTAGTTTACTAGTACTTAGTTAATAGTTAATATACTACTTATTATACTAGCTAGTGAGATCAACTAGTAGAAGAAGTATTATATACCTAATAACCCCTCTCTAGCTATATAATTTAGTAATAATTATATATATTATAACCTTACTAACCTAGTACCTCTATATAGCTACTACTGAGAGATATAGTACCTCTTAAGCTACTATTACTACTACTACTAGAAGAGTCTCTACCCTTCTAAAAAATAGTCTTAGAAGCTTAGTAATATTAACTCTATATACTATATAATAAGACCCCTCTTAAGATATAAGAGAACTTCCTACCTCCTACTAAGGCCTTCTAATATACTATATAGACTAACTATAAGTTAGAACTATATTAGTAAGAGGCTCTCTAATATAGTAGTATTAATAAGGCTACTAAAAACCCTACCTAAGCTAGTAAGACCTTATAGGCTACCTATAAGGCTAAAATATATATATTTCTTAGCGTACTTATCTATATAACTATCTATTATAAATAATACTTTACTAACTACTAAGTTAAAAGTAAGTATTTACCTAATTATAAGATTAACTATTAGATCTTAAGGGACTAATTTTATTAGTTATACTAATACTTCTATACTTATAACCTTAATATTAAGGCTTAAGAAGGCTATCGACTAATAATCTATAAGAGGGTTACTAACTAGAGTAATTAGGTATAAGTAATAGCTACTTACTTCTAAACGCTAAAGTATACTCTTACTATTAATAAGAGTATAGTTTATTATTAAAGCTATTACTCTAATAAATAATATATATCTAGTAAGCTTATCCTTATAAGGTTTAAGATATAAGTTATTAGTAAAGCTAGGTATTTTTTATATTAGGCTTAGTATATAAATTATAGACTAATAATTATACCTCTTATATATAACTAGCTTATTAAACGCCTACTCTTAGATATTAGAGCTTTTATAGTGTAGTTTACCCTCTAAGTATTACTACTTTCTAATAAATAGTAGTACTACCTATTTATTAATAACTTATTCACTTTACTTAACTTACTCTAATATTTATACTACTATGATATTATTATTATAAGTACCTACTACCCTAACTCTAGTATTAATAAAGCTCTTATTAAGCTTAAGTAATCTAATAATAATAGTAAATATATCTTATAAGGTACTATCTACCTTAAATTAATAGATAATAATATAGTTAACTAGCTACTTTTTAAGGATAGATTACTAGTACTAATAGCTACTACTAGCTTTTATAGCTATAAATATACTTAGCCTAAAGTTAGAAAGAAGCTATTAAGTAGCACTACTTATTTTAGAATATCTTAAGTGCTTTTTAAGATTATTAATCCTATTACTAGTAATATAGAGATTATCTATATAAAGCCTCTACCCTTCTTACTTATATATTATAAGTATAATTAGTATATAAATACTATTAATATTAGTAATTAATATTAAGTCTCTAATACTTATAGTAGATATATATACTATAGTAGCTTTTAAGTACTTAGATTTAATTTTATCTTACCTATTATAATTACTAATACTTACTTATTATTTAGAGAGGCTTTTTTTAATACTTCTAAGTAAAATAGTAACTTAATTAATATATACTAAACCTAAAGCTAGTTTTAATAGAAACTATTTAAAGAGATTATTATAAAGTATAGATAAGAAGTAGTTATAACTTAATCTTCTATAATAATATTAGAATTACTTTCTAGTTATATAAACTATACTAAATTAATACTACTAAAGAAAAAAGCTTATATTTAGTACTTAATAAGGTTTTAAAAGAAAATCCTTAGTAAAAGTACTACTAATATTTAATATAGGGATTATAAAATAAAGTTCTACTATAAGGATTATAGTATAGCTCTCTATAGGAAGGCTAAATACTAATAGGGGTACTATAATAGCTAGAAAGCTTAGATAATATACTATATTTAGTATAACTTTAGTTTATATCTATTACCTCTAATTGGACTCCTCACTAACCTAATCCATACTATAGGTGTCTTTTTCAGATATACTGTAGGCACTAAGGGCATAATCTGACTAGCCGCCACTCGCAGTTAGGAAAAAACCCATGTCTCAGGGACTAAGGAGATGGTTCTGCGGTGGTCTGTTTTATAATGACAGCCATTTTAGCGCCCTTTTTACTTACGAAATCGAATCGCAGTCTAATTGAGGGACACGCGAGGTGGGTTCGAACCGGGCGCTAGGTCCCCTGGTGAAATACAGATTCCCAACTTGGAGCGCAACCGTCCGGAACATGCTGCCGCTGCGGAAGAGTGGGCGAACCAAACCAACCCGTCTCTGTTTCTGTCTATCCGTACCTGTCTGGACGTATGTTGTATGAATGGATATGTATGGATACCTTACACCATGCTTCAGCCGTCTCGGTTCCAGACTCTGTCAATGTGCATTCTGCCCAGCGCTCACGCAAATCCCCATGGATCATCTCGGCTACATGTGCAAGACTATTCCCATACCAGTACGCTTCCCCCGAACAGTCAAGACCACAGATGGGATGCAACACCAACAAAAGCGCCATGCAACTGCAGGGCCCTTTTTTCACATCATCCCCCCCTTCCCCTCCATCCCCTGTCCATCTATCTTCAGCCCTTTTTAAACACCTTTATCGCCCATCCCTCTTCCTTTCCTCCCATCCTCTTGGCCTCCCCTCCGGCTCTTCTCCCATGTTGCCCATCGCCATCTGCGCCGGGAACCCCATCTCCCGCCCCCCTCCACGACGCGCCGACCCAGAACTCTGAGACGAAGCCAACATCGGACGCACGCAAAGCAAGGGGAGAAATCGAAAAGCGCACTCAAGGACCACCCCCGCCAAGACAAGCCTAAGCTCATCTCCCGCGCCCGCGCCCGCGCCAATCCACCGCCCCAAAGAACCCCCCTCCCCTGTTTTAGTCGACCGCGGCCTAGGCTAAGGCCCATTCCGCGTCTTGAAAAATGCCCTTCTCCCTCCGTCCCAAGACCTCAAAGGTCTCACCCGCCACCGACGACAACAACATCGCCGCGACGACGACAATCACGCAGCAAGACACCTCGACCACGACGTCCGAAGGGGAGAAGAAAGCGATGCCGAACAGCGGCCTCCGCCCCGCCGGCCCCGGCTTCGGCAAGCTGGGCGACGAGGAGTACGAGCTGCGCAATGTGGACACGCCCGGATCCCGCGACAACGCCCCCGGCGCGGGGCAGCACCAGCCCTACTCGGATGCTGTCGCCGGCGGCGACGACAACGGGTCTGTGATGGAGGGCACGGCGACGGAGTACCGCACGTACAAGCGCCGCTGGTTCGGGCTGGCGCAGTTGACGCTGCTGAACGTAATTGTGTCGTGGGATGTAAGTGTACTTCTCATGTTGTCTCTTTCCGCTCATCTGCCGTCTCAAACACGGGGATCGATGCATCGTGATTCGTGCCTGCGCAAGCCACATCTACTTTAAGAATCTCACCTCACCCGCAACAAAAACTAACCCGTCCGCAGTGGCTCACCTTCGGCCCCGTCGCCTCCACGGCCGCAACGTACTACAACGTCTCCGAGTCCGCCATCAACTGGCTCTCCACCGCCTTCATGTTCGCCTTCGTCGCCATCTTCCCGCTGACCATCAAGATCCTCCACCGCGGCCCGAAACCCTCCTTCATGACCGCCGCCGCCCTCATCCTCGTCGGCAACTGGGTCCGCTTCGCCGGCTCCCACTCCAAGTCCCCCACGGGCGGCAACTTCGGCGTCGTCATGTTCGGCCAGATCCTCACCGGCCTCGCTCAGCCCTTCGTCCTCGCCGCGCCCACCCGCTACTCCGACCTCTGGTTCACCACCCGCGGCCGCGTCGCCGCCACCGCCCTCACCTCCCTCGCGAACCCCCTCGGCGCCGCCCTCGGCCAGCTCATCGTCCCCTTCTGGGTGTCCTCCCCCCAAGACATGTCCAACGGCGTGCTCTACGTCTCCGTCATCTCCACCGTCGCCGCCCTCCCCTCCTTCTTCATCCCCGCGCGCCCGCCCACCCCCGTCGCCCCCTCCTCGCGCACCCTCAAGCTCGGCATCCGCGAGTCCTTCGCCATCGTCTCCCGCTCCCTCGAGCTGTGGCTCGTTCTCATCCCCTACGCCTTCTACGTGGGCTTCTTCAACTCCGTCTCCTCGCTGCTCAACCAGATGATGCAGCCCTACGGCTTCTCCGACGAGGAGGCCGGCATCGCGGGCGCGCTGCTCATCGTCGTCGGGCTGGTCGCGTCCGCAATCACGTCCCCGATCCTCGACCGCACAAAGGCCTTCCTGCTCGCCATCAAGACCGCCGTCCCCGTGATCGGGCTCGCCTACCTCGTCTTCATCTGGATGCCCGAGACGCGCAACATCGCCGGGCCGTACGTCGTTCTCGCTGTGCTTGGCGCCGCGTCTTTCTCGCTTGTCCCCGTCGCCCTCGAGCTGCTCATCGAGCTGTCGCACCCGGTGTCCCCCGAGGTCACGAGCACCATCGCCTGGGCCGGCGGGCAGTTCCTTGGCGCCATCTTCATTATCATTTCTGATGCCCTGCAGGCCCCCGAGACGGCGTCTCCGCCGCGGAACATGAAGAACGCGCTCATCTTCCAGGCTGTTCTTGCTGTCGTGATTGTGCCGCTGCCCATGATGTTGGGCCTGTTTGGGCGTAGTGATAGGGTGAGCCTCCGCCGCGTGCGGTCAGACCAGGCGGGCACGCGGGCGGCGTAGCGGGAGCAGAAGTGGGAGTGTGTGTGATTAGCATTATAGTAGTAGTAATATCGATACCCCGTCATGAACATTGTAAAATTCTATGCTTTCCCGTTAGCCTGCGCCGTACTGCTTGTGCCCCCGCGAATGTCCAGAAACTCCTCCCACTGCCTCCGTAACCGCTCCATCTCCGCCCACACCTTGCACCCCAGCTCCTCAAAGTCCACAATCTGGTCCGGCGTTAGGTCCCGCGCCTGCGGGTGCCGACCCACCACCTTCCTCAACACCCCCGTCGCCGGGTCCCGCGTGAGGCTTTCCCGGTCCTCCACGGCGCCCTCCCACCCCCACCCCTCAACCTCGGTCTTCTTCACCTCCGCCCGGCCCGTTACGCTCGCTGCACTNACCCCCACCCCTCAACCTCGGTCTTCTTCACCTCCGCCCGGCCCGTTACGCTCGCTGCACTGCCCCACTTGATCTTCTTCGCGTCCAGCTCCTGCAGGGTCTCGTCGTCCTGCAGCGCGAGCCACACGGGTGCCACGGCGCCGCCGTACCACGTCACCGGGTGCCACGGCGAGCCCAGCCAACGCGCGAGGTACAGCGCGAACTTGTACGCATAGAAGAGAATGAAGGGAAACGGTACCGGGAAGAGGTTCGAGGCGACGACGCCCGGGTGGGTGAGGTAGAAGGACGGCCGCACGGGCAGGCGCTGCGCAGTCTCCTCCTCCTCGGGCGTAAAGTACTTTTCTGAGATTCTCCTAGTCGACGGCAGGTGCGAGGTGAGGGCCAGCACATCCGTAAGCCGCTTCGAGCTTTCGTACGGACCCTCTGTCTCGACGCCCTGGAAATCATCTAACCTAAAGTGGCGCGCCAGCGGCTCGATGCTGCTCGTCCAGACGACGCGCCCAGGGCTTTGGTCAGCAGACTCGCGGCTTAGCAGGGGCAGCAGCTCGTGGGCGAGGACATAATGGCCAAAGACGTTGGCGCAGAAGACCTCGCCGAGAACGGGAGAAGAAGGCTTGGTATCGTAAGCGGAGGCGACGGCGAGGGGGTTATCAGGGGACTCGTTGGGTACCAGGTCGGAGCGGACGGGTCGCTGGTTCAGGACGGCGCCGGGGCGGGCGAGCTTGAAGCTCGGCCAGGTGAGGACGGGCAGCAGGCCCTTTGTGAAGATGGTGGTAAAGAGGCCGGCCCAGTCGAGGCCGGTCCAGCCGCCGAAGCCGGCGTTGAAGATGAGGGAGTCGAGGCGGGGGATCTTGTACGGGTGGGTTTCGGGGGCGGTCGGGTCGGCGATGTGGCCTGCGACGAGGGTGGTGGCGCAGGCGTAAATGGAGGGCAGGTCGCAGAGGTCGAGCTGGACGGAGAGCAGGTGGACGCGGGCGATGGTGTCGTCGGGGTGGTAGTCGGGGCCGGCGCGGGAGCGGAGGGCGGAGGAGGTGGTGGCCGTCTGGGCGAGGTGCTGCTTCAGGTGGAAGATTGTCTCGCGGGACTTGCGGACGGAGCGGGTCGTCGGGATGAGGATCAGGTGGGCGGAGAGGGGGCGGCTCGCGAGGAAGTCGTCGATCAGGCGTTCGCAGATTCCGAGGCCAACGCCACTGGTGGGGGGGAATGTCAGTTGCGATGCTGTCGGGAGGTCAAAAGGGGGTATGGCATGTCACACCTGTTTGCGCCGGTGACGAGGACGAAGAGCTGTTCGTGGGGCGGAACCTTATCCCAGGGTGCCGCAATCATGGTTGTCTCGGGTCAATTGGGTCTTGGTAGAAATGAAATGACAAAAAAAAGGGGTGTGCAAGAAGAGAAGAAGGAGAAGCGCAAGAATGGATGTCGTCGGGTTTGAGGTTTGGCGGTGAGACTGCAGAAGAGAGTCTTAATTATCGGTGCACACGCTCCAAATTTCGGACGGAACGTCGGCGGCGGGACGTAGCGGCGCCCAGCCAGGGCCAGCCAGAGCTTTTTAAGGTTGCTTCCCCTTTGGGAAGTCGCATCGAATGCTGTGCTCAGTGCTTTCGCAGTGTTCCATGCTCCTGTGGGTTCTTCTGGGCCCCGGGCACGTTTTTTGGTGGTCGAAGCATGTGTCAGTCACTGTCACTGTCACAAAACAGGTGACGCACAGCAGCTTACACTGTTCCGCGTCGTTCGACATGACCAACACCTGGGACTCAATCCCGGGAAGACTCTCTTCCATATCGTGCCATTTGGTTGCCGGCCCTAGATAAGCTGAATTGGGGCGCAGGAATCGGTGCCTGTCAGATTCACCCTGCAGATCCGATCTGTTGATGGCGCTGGTGATTGGTCCCGAGGATGCCGAATAAGAAGAATGCGAATACGGATTCGAGGTACTTGTGGTTGCTGTTAGTGCTGTGGCGCTGACCACGCCGTGGGCAACGCGAGCAGTAAGCCAATTAAATAACTGAATTGAGCAGGTTCGACAAGAAAGGTTTGCTAAGATGATCGTGCAGTTTACTGATTCTGTTTTTTGTTTGACGGTTGATGTTTTCAGGCTAGGTCGCTAGTTGTAGCTGAACGAAGTCAATCAATCAAGTCCGAAGCCGCACCATTTGATTGATTGATTGATTGATTGATTGATTGATTGATTGATTGATTGATTTGGTAGAGCTGTGGAGTGATCGGACATCATGCTTGACTTGATCTCTTTCTGTGGCTGTTGCGCTTGTCTGATTAGCTCAGGCTTGTCAGGCTTGTCAGGCGATTGGTTTGCTTGGTTCGATTTGGCTCGACTTAACTTAGTTAACACCGCCAGGGTCAAAGTAGGGTGCAATTAAATCTTGCACATTGACATGTATGCCTGCGCTTCTTAAAGAAATTCTTAAAACATGATGTGGCCAAGTTGTTCAGACGTCGGTCTTCCAGGTTGGTGGACTTATGTGTTGCATTTGGCTGTTTGGTACTTAAGTAACTTGTTTACCCGCTGAAGCAAGGTCACCGGCGTGGTGGAAACGACTTGTTTGACGACCAAATGCAACCGTGTCACATCAGAACTGGACTGAATCGATTCTAAGGCCAGGCAAAACGATTTGATTGACCGCTTGAAAATACGAGAAACTCTCCGGCGGTTTTGCTATCAAGACGTGCATGAGCGGGAAACTCTTCCTGGACCGCTTCACCGAGACATCTTCCATCGTCTGCTCAGAACCCATGAATGCCCCGAAACTCACGACCACTCTCATGTCATTGCCTTGCCATGTTCATGTGATGGACGCCGAAAAACTGTATTGTGGTCGTTCTCATCTTACATTCCAACCCTCCTATCTTACGACACCGGTGAAGTTTAAGTTGGCACATTACGGCCCGAACAAGGGGTTAGCACAAGTAACACTAACACGACGCGAGCGAGAGTGGAATCCCACCCATTCCTTCCCAATCTCACGAATTCTCTGCCATAATTTTGGAAGAACCTTTTTCGCCTCACTTGTATTGCAACGGGTGCTGGGAGGACGCGTGGCAAGTCATCGTGGCTTTGAGCTGACCCCAGGAGTCCAATATGGTTAGCTTCATCATGTCGGTGATTAGTTTGAGGCTCTATAACACTCGCTCTATCAACCTATCGAATCGAACTTTGGAATCTCTACCCGAAAGCGGCATGCTATGCGGTGGAGGGCATGCCGGTGATATTGCTCTTGACGGTATGCCCAATATTTGTCCCATAATCACATGAGATTGTGAGATATTTGGGTGTCTAGAATTCATGTGGGAGGTTGTTCCACTTTGTATGCATCAGCTTGTTCGTCACATGCCCCATGTGTTGAAGCCTTACCACGCGGGAGTCAAGTGCAGTTAGCTGGCTTCACAAGACAGCTCTGGGCTCACACTGGATTCCACTTCTTGCCAATGGAATGACTAGAGAGTTATAAATAGCAATTTCAACAGTCTTCTAGGCGCCTGGAGTGACGTGTACGGTGTTATTGCGGCAGGGAAAGGTGTTGATGCGTTGCTGAGTTGGCAAAGGAGCCGCGAGGTTTTCGGTGAAAGTCAAGGTGGCTGGTAAGCAGGCCTACTCAATCACATCCAATGGCTTAACTTAGTGGTTTCGAATACCGAATTTTATCTGTTGTGTAACTACATACGCCGAGCCGACCTCTAGGGAGACGGCGGGCAGAGAGAGGGTAATCACACGGTTCTATGATCACGTGGGACATGCGAACAGGTCTCTTTTGAGATTAATGGACCAACTCATCAGGAGATCCAAAGGTCTGCCTTGGTTACCGCTTGTTGAAAATCCGGCGAGCAAGTGGCTGGATTGGAGAAGGGGTGTCCTGACCTATGTCACTTCGGTGGTGGCCGAGGTATGAGCTATCTCAAGGCTGAAGCTGTGCCACCAGGCGTTGTAACATGAGCGCACATAATTCTCCTGTCACTTTTCAGGGCTGCTAAAGTCAACGCACACGTATTCGTCGCCGTGTTCAATGGTGCAACTTTTGTATCCTTCGTGCTGACGGCAGTGGGCGCCGCTCCGTATGGTGCAAGCATACGATTAAGTCCCCGAGTGGATGACGAGTTACTCATCTCCTGACGAACGCTGTCGCACTTGCGAGTCTTTCTAGGTGCCTGGAACGATCTCAATTTACGTCGAACGAAATTGGTGCCGCAAGAATTCCCGCTTCCTTACAAGGGCAGCTGGTTACCTTCAACAAACTGGTGCTGCAACAACCCCATTCCCGCGGTGCCCTATAGCTCCTGGCTCGTGTCTTCCCTTCGGGTGATACTTGACAAGGAAACATGCGAGTTTATATACAGATGTGAGAAAAGTGCGCCTGAAATGAAATGACGGCGAATGGAATAGCCGGCAGGAAGGCAATAATTTCTCACAGATAAGCTTGGTGTAGATTGCCCCAAAGCAACATCTATACAAATCCGCACCATCATAATTTCTCGCAAAGAAATTTGTTTAAGATGGCTTGGTGATCCGGGGACCGAAACCACCTACCAAAGCCAAAGTGACGGGCTGGTTCGTGATGGAAGGTAGGCTGGTTTTCGACGGGCATGTCCTGTTGTTGTCTACTCCAACTAACGTATGCAGATACGATCTAGAAGACGGGCACCCGAAATTACTACCGACAGTGCTTCATCGTTCGACGTTCCTCGCTGACGAGAAACACCCTGACAAGAACGCGCAAGAGATCGCGACAAAGTTTGTCGCAAAGATTTGTAGCTGGCTCAGCTCCATTGTCCTAGGCGCCTATGCGAGACAGATCGAAGGGAAAACCGCACTCGACCGCATGGAATGGTTATCCTTCGGGATTGAGGGAGGCTCTCTCCTGGATTTACACTTCCCACGCGTAAGAAACGTCTTGAACCGCCACAAGAACTGTCTCACTGACCCTTGGGCCACAACTCCAGATTCATGATGTACTAACCAAACCCTCTCCATGGATGTTTTTCACGTCCATGATGGCATACGGATGTGGCGTATCGTTATTATATCGCTGCAATCGCGGCGATGAACTCCAGGATGGGATTTTGTCGGTCGCAATCACCTCCGCCTGCATTATTGGGACGACGACCCAGGTTGGCGCCGTAAGTATCTGACTGCGTATTCTCCCATGGACGATGCTAGTGGCACTTTCACTCAGCGCCATTGGATCCAAGTTCTTTTACTCTGGTAGACCGAATATATTGACCCGTCGGTAACCGGGTTTCTATTCATCTTGAACCATTGGTTCCGGTACCCAGCAAGAAGATTTCCGAAGCTCGGAAGCCAAGCGATGGAATGCTATCGTTCTAGGGATCTTCTATCGCACGCACATGAGCTACATTTTTTTGTGCCAAAAATACCGCAAGATATCGGAGGTATATCATTCTTTAAGATCATATCCCGTTTCTCACCAAAAGAAAAAAATGAAATGCGTTTGAGAATTGTCTATGCAGCTGAAGAAAACCCCTCTCGGCCTGCAGTCGTGTGGCATCCATGTCATCAGGAGCTTTGGGTATCTAATTGTGGGAATTTTGCAGACATATCTTGGTAGTTGATTTGCTTCTTGCATGCTTTCTAGTTGAATGAAATACTATTTGGAGGTTCAATTGGTCGCCATACCAGACTTAACGTCCCAAGAATGAAGGTGGACGCCTCTTTCATCGGACGTTCTCAGCATCTTCGTTTCCTTAGAAAACGTGAAGGCATGGAAAAATATCAGGCTGGATTTCCCACATCCAAGGAAATAACAGAAGGTATTCTGTCACGGTATTCTCGAAGATGACTGCGTAATATCTGTTGTCCTTGGTGTTTTCCCTTGGACATTGCTAGTAGCGCTATCCGTCAGCGTCATTGGTAATTGGCTCCGGCCGCTTTGTTCCGGAACCAGACTCATGATCTAACCCTCAGAAGGAGGGCTCGTGCTGTTAAGCTGTCAAATCTCAGGATTGTACGCAACGTCAGAAGAAGTGGCAGATCATCATCACATAAATACATGCGCGCCATTTCTATCATTGAATGCTGCAGCCGTTTTGCCCCATGACGACAAACGATGCCCTAGTTGCCATGGAACACATAGTGAAGGGCCTGGTCTTGCGTTATGTCGTATAGATACTTGAAAGGTTACATATGATAGAGAATCAAACCTACTTCGGCGTAGGCGCTGTGTGGAATTACTGCCACGATGATACCAGACGTCGAAGCTTCCATCCCCATAGGTAACGATACATCAATCCTTTGCCTGGCTGAAAAACGAAACAAATTCAGCGCTCTACGTATATGCCTGATCTTGAGCTACGGAAGGATGACGAAGACGGTGTGATTCTTAAGTTTCAAGCTGGATGGAGACCTCTAATGTTAAGTTCAGCACCATTTGAAACCCATCGCCCTACGTCACCAAGTTTAAGCCTCCTATCACTACGAACCCAACCGCCGCTTCACTTCATGACGGTGGTTTGCCACCGGAAGAGAGACGCAGTACAAACATCAAAGACAATGGAAGATATCCTGAAGTCACACCTCGCTGAAAGCCAAGCAGGATAGAGATTCCGCTTGCCTAATACCTTTCCCCGCACAACGCAGGATCAAATCATCCCTTGAGGGACCTCTTTCTATGACCTTTTACCTTGCCAAATTTCTTCATCAATCAAATACGTCCATACCGCATGTACTGAAGTATCGACACATGGGATGTGACATAATATCTCGTGACTAGCTAGATGGACGACATACCAGTCGCTATCATCTGCAGCACTCCTGCTGCGGTACCTCTTAAGCCAGATATATCTATGCTCAGAAGGGAAGAGGCCATGAAAGAACCAGAGAGAATTCCCAAGGGAAGCGCCGGAAGTATTGCGTCGATCAAGGGCTCGGATCCTTCGAGAAGTTTGGCCAGAAGCCAGAGGCCGAGGACGATGCTACTCAACTGAAAGCTGATCGTAAAGTTAGGAATGACATAGACACAGAGAGTTTGGTGCATAACATACGCATGAGCTTGCCTCGATTTGGTGGACCAAACGTAGTATAGAATGCCGCTACTCAGGAGGGCGAAACCCCAGAGCCTAACATCGCGTGAGCTCTTTCCGACCCAGACGTGTAACACGGAGAACAGACCAACACCACAACGTATCATTGAAACCACGACGTTTTCGCACAAGAACTAAGGAAGACGAAATGACAAATGTCGTTACTGCCAATGCTTTTCGACAGAACATCTTCCAATCCAAAGAGCTGCACCTGGTCGACGAAAGAGCTGTAAGTGAGAGAGACGGCACTTTGACCATAGCTAGTTACGAGTACATACCACAATCGATATTCGGCAAGAAGGCCTTGGTTTTGTTGTTCTTGGACGGGAAAGTTCGCTTCGACGTCGCGTTGCTCGGTAAGTGCTGAATGTTCTGGATCGGCCATCCTATCTTCATAACTCTTCCAGATGTTGGAATGATAGAGATGGATGAATGGATGGACAATGAGATTTTCGGGCCGAAGAGGCGACTGATAAGTAATTCAGTTGGGCACCGGGATCATAGCCGCCCAAAGGAATCTGCTGCTCAGCGGTCAGGTGTGACGGGCGGCCCCTGAAGCACTCCGCCACCACCGTGAGCCTCGTCACACGTCAGTTGGCTCCCTCAATTCCAACCAAAGAGAAGAGAGGGAGATCTGGAAGTTATGAGTCCGAGATTGGGCACCCAGAGTCAGCCTAACTGCTGAATAAAACAACTTAGATGTCCACATACCCCGAAAGCCGTGCACCCGATTTTTCGCGTGGTGTAGAACTCGCAGACGAAGAGGTCATGGACAGACATCGAGACTCCGCAGAGATATATCCTCCCATGGACATCATTGTATGCATACCTTTGGGGGATCCATCGGCCGTATGGGGGGCGGACCCGAAGACCAAAGTTCGCCAGAGGAGCAATTACTCCAACCTCTGGAACACGTTGATCAAGATAATGACGAGGAGCAAGTCACGGGCGACGGTGAGGAAGTCCCACGTACTCAAGAAATCGTTGGAGGTGAAGGAAAGTAAAGAGAAGTATGCACTGGGAAATATGAAGGTTGAGAAAGATCTGACTGATGGTGCGAGCACAGAAACTCGAGCTTCTTTGAGAGCTACGTTGGCGTGCCTGTGCTCGACGAACAGCTTGAGGAAGTCGAACAGAAAGAAAACAGCGAGGCCATCTTGACGCAGATTCTAGCAAAAATCGTCACTTTGACAAGCTCGCTCTTTCTTGGCAGCACTGCTATCAAGAGAAGTCTCAGTTATGGGGGTGATATCGTTGAGGTCCCTTGGGCTTCGGCCCAAGGACTTGGAGGGCACGATCCGGGAAAACTAGAAAGAGACGTAAGATGAATGCAGTCTGATAATTGAAACGAAGCTAACAACTCGGCTTTTATTAGCTCAACGATATATTGTCGATGTCGAACCCATCCCCCGTTGCACTGGGCATAGCCATGCTGGCCTACGGTGCAGGAACGTCCACGATGTACCACCTCAACCGCAACGACCGATTCCAAGATGCTGTTCTTACAATGGGAATATCAATCGGCTTGATAGCAGGGATACTTGTTGGGCACAAATTCGAAGCCATAATCCTTCACGTACTCCCATGGGCCGTGTTTCTGGCTCTCTCACTCAGTACCTTGGGCCATCGAATCGCTCGAGCTGTCGCCCGTAAGAGAGAGACCTTTGAGGGCGATTCAATTGTGTGAGATGATGCTAGAACGTCAAGTTGCAGTGGTTTTCAATACATGACGAAAGCTGTTGACCGATGGATGATGTCTCACCATGTGGAGAGTTTGCAGACGGGATTCGTTTGGTTGAAAGGCATCTGTTTTGTTCTTTACTGTTGAGTCTCTTTTGGCTGAAGTATTGGGTAGTATGCTAGTATTGGTACTCTCTGTCGTTTTAGTCGCTCATTCAATCAAATTCCTGTCGTCTTTAAGAATGATTTATTGCCCTCCTTGCTGAAGGTCAGATCGTGATGTTAAGGTTTCGATTGGCCCCACACCGACCCCGACCGGGCCTAACCCCACTAACCCCTCCATCCAAGCTTCCAGGCACCTCAGCTTCGCATCTTCATCATCCAACCTCACAACAACCACCGCCTCCGAGATGACAACACCCGCCCCCTTCCCGTTCCCGCGGGAATACTCCTTTCCCCCCTTCTTCACCCGCCAAACANACCCGCCCCCTTCCCGTTCCCGCGGGAATACTCCTTTCCCCCCTTCTTCACCCGCCAAACAAACCTCACAACCCACCACGCGCAACTCGTCAAATGGTCCGACCTGATCCTCGCCTACTGCCGCCACAACCGCATCTTCAAGCTCTCCCTCAACGCTGCCATCCCCTCCGCGCCGACCGCCGCCCTCCCGCACGCACTGCCCAGCACATCCGCCCCGTCCATCGCAATCACCGACCCGACCCTCGGCGGCACCTCCGCCTCGTCGTCGGGCGCCGCCGGCCCGGAGGAGCTCTTCCACAACAAGACGCTGAACAAGCGCCTCTCGCTGGCCGACGCGCGCGAGGTCCTCGAGTTCATGAAGAAGGACGGCCGCGCGGAGCAGCTGCCCGCTTCGCCGGACGTTTTCTGGGTGTACTGGCGCACGCCGGACGAGTGGGCCGCGGCGATCGAGGCGTGGATCGACGAGACGGCGCAGAAGGGGGTTGTGTTGACGCTGTACGAGCTCACGGAGGGCGAGGGCACGAGGGGGACTGGTGAGTCCTTTCTTTTCTCTCCTTACACGATGGGCTGGAGCGACGGCTGACAATAGACGTGATTTGACAGATTTCCACGGCCTCGATTCCGATTTACTGCAAAAAGCGCTGCAGGTCCTGGTCAAGCGAGGCAAGGCGCAAATCTTTGGACAGGAGGATTCGCAGGGTGTCAAGTTCTTCTGATTCTCTATCGATGACACGACGCCACGATGTAATGCTGTTCTCCCATGCGATTCTCTTGAAGACGTAACGACATTCATACATTATACATCCGTATACCTCCGTATACTTCCGCAACGATCAACACCAGCGACACCGACACCGGCACCGACGCTGACGAAGGACGGCGTTTCTACTTCCCGATGCAATGACCCTCAACTCCTTGCGCGCGCGTGGCTACTATGTACAAGAGCGTAGCAATATTCAGCAAAACATCATGACTTTTCGAAAAAGTTCTTGACGAGGTACTTCTCGTCAAACGTCACCTGTTGGGTCATGGCCACATCGAGAAGCCAGTCGGCGGCGACTATACGAGGCTCCATGTGACCTTTGCGGGCCATCTCCTCAAACTTGGGCCAAAGGGCGCGCTCCTGCAGACTGTTGGAGCTTAGCAGATAGACGGGTTCAGGCGCGGCGCCGCCATCTTCCTCAGCGGTCGTGGGCTTGATGGTGGTGCCGCTGCGTGCGCGGTAGAGCTTGAACATTGCGCCGTTGGCCTCTGCGATAGCCTTGTAGCTGTCGGGGCCGTTGCTGATGTGCTCGGTACAGTAAACCGGTACGGTCCACAGGAGTTTGCCGAGATTCGCCCTAGCCCGGGAGACAGCCGTCTCTATCTTGACTCCGAACTTCTTCTCGTTTTCTTTATCGTCGAGAAGGAAGTCTTCGGGGTCAGGAGCTTCACCCTTATCGAGCGCTTCGTCGATGAACTTGGACGAGAGAATCGTAGGCCCCTTGGCCAAGGTCTTGAGGAACTTGACTGTCCGCACCATGTGCGGGGCGGCGAGGTAGTCGGAGGGCTTGTCGTCCTGGACTATGAGGATGCCCATATCGCGAAGCTTACGCTGTGGGGTGTTAGTACCCAAGATGTAGACGGAGGAATTAAAGCAACTGACCCTTTCAACATCCTCCCTGTGCTTGTTGTTGACCCATCTCGTAAATCCGGTCAATACAACCCTCATTTCGACCTCTGGACCTGCCGATTTCCGCTTCTTCGTCGGGCGTCTCTCGTCGTCGTCCTTGTCGCTATCGTCGTCGCCGTCATCCGCCTGCGCTGGGCTTGACGTCCGTCCCCGCTCCTTATCAATTTGGTCCGCAGCACGCTTGCCGCCCCAGGGGCCGCCCTGCTTGGCTCCCCGCTTCTTTTCCTTCTCGTATAGGGCAATGTCTGGTGCGATGCGTTGAAGGTTGGTGAGCGCCTTGCTCTTGGCACTTCTTGCGCTTCCTGTGGACATAACGGAGGGCGTGTCGTTCTCCTTGCCGCGGGCAGCACCTTTCTTGGGACGAATAGGCGTCATAAAGCTGTCGTCGACCGCATCGTCCTTGGTTCCGTCGTCCTTCTCCTCTTGCCTCCCAATAACGACACCCTCGGCAGGGCCGTAGTTGTACGAGTTGTCCTGGGCGGCTTCGAGAATTCTGCGCTTACGCTTGGCACCGGGGGACAAATGCTCCTCTCCACCCGGGTAGTACGTGTCTCGTAACCTGGATTCGTCGAAAAAGGTCTGGCCGATAACCTCGCCAAGATTCGTACGGACGGGAAAATGGGAGTATTTGGCCACGGTAACACTCTGCTTCTCGCACTTGGCATAGCTCTCCTCGATCCATAAGTGGTTGACAGTTTCGATGTTCCAGTCCTTAGCCGCCTCGTACTTTTCGCTACTGCTGCGGGCAGTAATGAGATGGGTGTTCTCGGCCTTCATCGTCTTGGTATACGTGGCGCCAGTTGCCCGAATGAGGTTCTCGAGATAGATACGAGCGTCGCCACCGTAATTGGAAAGGCAAATCTTGAAGTCCTCGAAGCCTTCGATGCCGTTTCGGGGGACAGGGTAGTGAAGTAGCCGTCGCAGGGGCGAGGTCCATTCGTTGTGAGTGATGAGGTGGTAGAGCCACGAGAGGTTTCCGACATCCTTGCCCGATTGAGCCGCCTTGATATACTGTTCGCCGTCGCGGTATTGGCAGACGAAGTAGTCGCAGTCGTCAACATCCTGGACCACTCTGCCGCCTCCGTTGATGACGAGTTGCTTGACGATTTCCAACGACCTCGGGGTGATACTAAGGTCCCACGAGAACATGACGCTCTTTCCTTGGAATATGGTGGCAGCCCTGCGTGTGCTATCGACGAGCTGGTTAGGCATGGTAGACGTTGCTCCTTGGAGGTGATCGTACTTGGGCATTTGCACTTCGGCTTGCAGCTCGGGGTTTTTGAGGATTTCGGGGTCGGGCAAGGTATAGGGGCCCTCATCGATGCGCTTGCCTAGTTTGAAGCAGTCTTCGAACCAGTGGGGTAGAACAATCTTGCATTTGAGTCCCTTCTCCTTAGCAGTGACACATTTGGGATGCTCCATAGACAGCGCGCAGATGTGTGTGGTCTGTCGGGTGACGTCGGCAGTCTCCATACCGCCCATAGCAAGAGTCGCCCCGATGATTGTCTCCTTGTCGATTTCGGGCAGGTCGGCGCAGGTGATGTTGATTTTGGAGAAGAACATGCGCGGGTCGGGCGAGTAGGGACGGACCTGGGCCTGTTTGTTCCTGTGGATGGAGGCTTTCAGCCAGTTGGACTCGACAACGGGGATCATGAAGGCCTGGGTTTCTGTAAACTGAGGGAAGTCGATTGTATTGGAGATTATGTGAGTAACTTGCTCAAGACGTATTGAGCCGTCACGCCTCGGGTCAAGGACTTCGCCGCCGCGGCCTATAACGATCTCCGTAAGGTCGCTAATCTCCTTGGGCGCCAAGTAGGCGGACGGCACGAATGCGAAGGCGCATTCTGCAAAGAGGCCTTTGGCGTCGGCCATGGTCGTCGTCCGTGGTCGTCGTCCGTGGGCGTCGTTGTGGTCGTGGTAGTTGTTGTTGTGGTCCTTGGGCGTCGCGGTCGTTGCCGTCCGGGTTGTGCAGATTGCAGAGGCGATATTTCTTGCCCTGATTGACGCGACTGGGCTTGACGCGCTCAAGAGAGGCCCACTATACCACACGCGAATTGACCACTGCAGCACATGACGTTGAGGCACTTGTATCTGTATGCAAACCCCACAGTGGAATATGTAGCTACCCGTACTCGTACTATTAGCGCGTTCTAGGCCATTAAAAGCGCGCTCCGTGCACGGGCGTCCGGCAGGCACTCCACAGACGATGCCTGCCCTGGGCATGACACCTGTTAGCCAAAGCTCCCAACGACAAGGACGACTGAGACGACGACTACGGACGACAAGCCTATTTTGAGAGAGGCACCTTCTACTGCCTCTGTGGTGGTCCTAGACGATGAGAGCCATACTCTGTTGCGCGGTGACACCCCCTTCGAGGACTTCAAGTTTTGCCTTTCCAACTACGGCGGCGACGCTCGCATCTATCTCGAGAACCTTCTATTGCCCGTCCTCAACACACTTGCCGACAAAAAGAAGTTCGACAAAGCCGCACGGAGCCCACCTCGACTCGACAGTGGTGCATCTCGTACGTTCATCTCCACGTACGACTGGGCAATTGCCAGTAAACAGGTACAGATACGTTTGAGATGATGGCAGTTGAGGTGTTTCACAAAGTCGCGGTACCTAACAGCTTGCTGATGCAGCTGGTCAGACGCGGATCGGGCCATCAAACATCTCGCAGCCGCGAGCAACTCTATTGCAACTACCTACAAACAACAGCTCCATCTGCTACCGTCTTCATTCTTTCATCGTGACGCTGTCAATGCCTGAGGGCGTCACCGTCCATGCATCATGTCTGTCGTCCATACTCGCTGCTTGATTCAATCACCCTGACCATGATGCCCCACTAATTCCCAAATCAATCGGTCTTTCTTCGCACAGCGAATTCGTCTCGCTTCAAAACCACCGAGACATGCTGGTCTGCATCCAAATTCTCCTCCAGACCTCGATGGGCAGTACAAGAGCAACATGACGCCTTGCGAACATGAAATGATACCTCAGAGGCTCGACTTGATCAGGTCAGCAGCCTTCTCAGCGACCGCGTACACGGTCGCCTGAGGGTTCGCCCGCACCGTGATGGGGACGATACTGGCGTCAGCTACCCTCAGGTTGCGAATGCCATGGACACGCAGCTTCTCGTCGACCACACCACCGAGCTCGCGGGGCATCATGGAGCAGGTGCCCGTGAAGTGATGAGCACCGACGGCAGTCTTGCGAACGAACTCCTTGGCCTCCTCCAGATCGGTCAGAGGCTTGGCCGGGACGCGCTTTCCGCCCGCCTTGAGCTGGCTGCGGAGAGGCTCGGTGGACGCAATCTTTTCAATCTGCTGGACGTGTCTGGCCAGAAGCTCCACGTCCAGGGGGTGAGTCAGGTACCCGGGGTCAATGGCCACCGCTGGCGACTCCAACGACGCCGACGTGATGTGGCTCGAGCCTCGCGAGAGTGGGTGAGCCAACAGCAGGCCGAACGCAAAGAATTTCTCGTCGCCGGGAGGTGGCGCCGCCATCGTCCCGTCCGGGTTGAACAAGGCGTACCCCGGAAATGAGAGGTAGTAGCCGGAAGGCTCCGATGACGAAGTGAGGACCGAGCGGACGAACGACTCGAGCTTTTCGGTAAACGCAGGCGTCGATCGCGTCTTCGGCGCCTCCGCCTTGAGCTTATCGAACAGCTCCCCGGCATTCTCGGAAGTCGGCAGCGGAAGCTGTGCCGTTGCCGAAGTCCCACTCCTGGAGAAGGGGCCCGATTGCTTGCCGTACGCCTCCATGGCTGCCCCGACCGCCGCGGGGTCTTGGCGGACGATCCCGTCCATGGTGTCGTGCTCTGGGAGCGTTTCAAAGGCTGCGCCGACCATGACATGGTTTTGCAGGTTCTCACCAACGTGTGGGTTGTCGAGCACAACGTCGATGCCAAGCCCGCCGAGAAGCTCAGAGCTTCCAACACCAGAAAGCTCCAGGATGCGAGGGGAGTTCAGGGCGCCGGCGCTGAGGATGACTTCCTTTTGCGCCGTAGCGACCTTCTTCTCGCCGTCCTTGGTGTACTGAACACCCTCTGCGACAATCTCGCCAGCGCCAGTCTTGAAGACGACCTTCTCCACAAGCGCTCCGGTCTCGACGGTCAGGTTCGACCTAGACTTGGCGGCTTGCAGATACGCGCTGCCGGCATAACTTCTCGTTCTTGTCGCAGAGTCGACAGTGTCTGGTGTGAGACTGCTTCCGACGCCCTGCCCGCTCAGCGGGTCGCAGACATTGGGAAAGCCCAACTCGCGGATGGTGTCTTGCCAGACCTTGGGCCAGAAAGAATCGGCATTGTCAGGCAGAGACAGCTTGAGAGGACCGCTCTGTGCCTCATCAGAAGCAATAGAGTACGCCTTCTTCTGGGCAGCACTGAACGAGGGCCAGTCCCAACCCTCATTGCCCAAGCTAGCCCAGGACTCAACGTTGGCACGAGTCGTGACAGTGAATGACAGGCCGTTGAGGGCACCGGAACCACCTAGCAGGCGGCCTTGAGGCACTCCGATTTCACGACCACCGAGGCCACTCTGCATCAAGAGTCAGAACCAAATGCAAGCAGTATCTCACCGCATCTTTGGGGAGACTCACCTGTGGTACCGTCTTGAATTGCCAGTCAGATGGTGTCTTGACCAGACTAGGCCCCAGTGCGGGAATATTGACTCTGGGATCCGCCGTCTGGTCCTCGCCCGCCTCCAACACCAGCACTTGGATATCGGGGTTCTCAGACAAACGGGAGGCAATTACCAAGCCGGCAACACCACCGCCGACGATAACGAAGTCGTATTTTGCAGACATTTTGACAAAGATATGAGGTTTGGGCAACACAAGTGAACAGCAAACCAGGAGGATTGGCTCAGCGGAGCTCAGCCAGTGTTAAATCATCAGCCCGAAGGAACCAACAATTAGCCCGAGGGGACCGGTACGTGTGCATTGCGGCACAGACGTTGGTGCATAGCAACAATCACCATCGCGCCGAGCTATGCTTCCGGCATCTCCCCCGCGCCGCCGTATTACACCAACTCTCGACGGCGCCCCGACCAGCCGTTTTAGGTACCGTCAAATCAGGTCCCACCGCAGAGTTGCATCCGTACGACGACGTTTCTGCACCATGGACCCGACGCATTTTGGCGCAGACCCATCCACTTCTCCGGGACCCCTAGTCCATGAGTCGCGCACCGCTGACCGGGGGGCCTCCCAGCAGGTACCCGGATATCAAGGTTATCGGGATGCCCCAAGGATCACCGCGGAGCCGACACGGGCTTGTACTTTACATCAATCAGTACAAACTTCTCGATGGTATGATGGGCGTTACACGATCGTGGTGATTTGCCATCCGGCCATTGGACACTAGTCAGTCGCCGTGGGAATCTGTGACCCCTCAGGTAACTCACGATAGATTGCCACGGATGGCGACTAATGGGGCTAGACCCAGCACTTAGAGCCATGCAGAGCTCTATCACAGCTCGAGGGCGGCAGATGTAAGCCAGCTCGAGTCCAGACATGAAAGAAGGTCTTCGAGCAGTCTGCCGTTGCTTTGGACTTGAGAAGTTGCATCAACGACATAGTCTTCATGATGGGTGTCCTCTTTGACTCTAGTTACCAAGGCATTCTCGTCTCCGGACTTGGAGTGCTCTGCGGTTTCGCCGTTCACCATGCCCTCTTCATTCACGGAGAGTGGCATGTACAAGCGCCTCAGATTGCGCTGGGCCACTTTTGGTTTCTCTTTTGCTTCATTGCTTCAAGCATCTACTACAAAGATACCTTGATTGGCGAGCTTTCTCGGTGTCTGTTGACGCTGTTTGCTGGCTATCTTCCTGGTCTTTTGGCCAGTATCACTCTCTACAGAATCTTTTTCCACCGTCTGTCTGGCTTCCGTGGTCCGTGGTACGCCCGCATCACGAAGCTCTGGCACGTATGGGCATGCAGAGACTGCAAGAACCACCTGGTTCTGGAGAACCTGCACGAGCAATATGGAGACTTTGTCAGAACGGGTGAGAGAAACAACTTTGCATGACAACTTGTTTCAATGCTGACTGCTTCAAAGGTCCCAGCGAAATCACCGTCTTCCACCCGGGAGTCTTCATGGCTGTGGATGGCCCCCGATCGGAGTGCATCAAGGCGGAGTGGTATGACATTCTGCATCCCGATCGCGCCCTCGTTACCACCCGCGTCAAGCCTATTCATGCTGCTCGACGTCGTGAATGGAACCGTGGCTTCTCGGCTCAAGGTATGTCCCCATAGATCTTCGGTATCGTGAGCCTATCTGACGTGCCATGCCGCGCTGCAGCCCTTGTCCAGCACGAGTCAAAGATTCTCAAGTATATTGAGCAACTTGATCAATGCATCGAGGCCAATGCCGAAGCAAACAAGCCTTCGGAAGTGCGGGACCTCTTCTTCTGGTTCGGGTTTGACGTCATGGGCGACTTCGTCTTCAGCAAGTCTTTTGACATGCTGCATCAGCAGCAATGGCACCACATCATCGTGCGTCTGCAGCGTGCTCTGTCCCTTCTTGGGCCGTTCAGCCCTACCCCGTGGTTGATTCAGGTCGGCTTCAAGCTCGCTCCGCGCGTGGGTGTTCTCAAGGACTGGTTCGACATGGTCGCTTGGTGCGAGCGTCAGATGCGCGTGAGACTAGACGATGCATCTCCCAAGCCATCTGTGCCTGACCTCGCCCATTACCTGATGGAATTGGACGATGGACAGACTGAGATGAAGGATCGCTTGACTTGGCTGTTCGGTGACAGCTTGCTTGCTATTGTGGCTGGAAGGTGAGCATACTTGAACGGGTTTGAGGCAATCAATACTAACACGCGCAGTGAACCGACTGCTGCCGCTCTGATCGGCATCTTCTGCGAGCTGGCAAAGCACTCGGAGCACGTTGACAAGGTCTACGAAGAGTTGAAGGACGTTGACGTGACAGACCTCAAGACCCTGACGAGCCTGCCTCACCTCAACGCCGTCATCAACGAAGGTCTCCGACTCTACCCGGCCCTGCTCACGGGCGGAGCCAGGAAGACGACCGAGAACGGTGCAACCATCGGCGACACCTTTATCCCGCCCAACACGACCATCATTGCGCCTCGGCATGTCATTTCCAGAAGTGAGTCCAGTCTGGTCGCGCCCAGGCCTTCTCTTAAACTGACTATTGCTTCAGGGGAGGATTGCTTCGAGCGGCCGAATGAGTTTATTCCCGAGAGATGGAGCACCCGACCGGAGATGGTCCGAAATGCATCCGCCTTCGCACCTTTCGGTACAGGTATGGAGCCTTCCCGCGTGTGGTGGTTGCCGGATATGGAGACTAACTCGTGCATCTGCAGGTCATCACAGCTGTCTCGGGCGTTTCCTGGCCACCGACTCCATGAGGTTCGTGGTGGCAAGGTTGGTCAAGAAATATCACATTCGCCTTGCTCCCGGTGAGACTGGAACTCGGGTTTTTGACGACATTCGGGATCAGTTTACTTCCAACCCCGGCCCCTTGTCTCTCTGTTTCGAGTTGAGGTGACTGGGGCTATGAATAGACGGAACGCTTGACTACACAGCCTCTCAGTACATTTATTGTCATATTTTCAAATTGCCATAAACACACTTTCTTGTTTTATCGTTCTGCGTACACTTTAAACACACTGGACATGATCTAAATCAAGTTGTGAACAACCCCTGGGCTGAATGTTCAAGCGAGAGGGGAGAATGGCCACCCGTTGATGCCGCTGGTGTAGAGCGGGCCAGCTTCTATCGCTTTCGCACTCTTCTTGAGCTCCTCCACATCCCAGTTGGCCCAGACCGAGCGTCCGTTCAGGAAGGCAGCTTCCGGGCTGGTCAACCACACAGCAAAATGGGCGGGGAGTTGGACTTCATCATGGCACGGACGTTAGCCTGGTCGGCCCACAGCGGAGTTGCAGCTCGAAAGAAAGCGACCCAGGTTGTGAGATATGGGTATCTGACAGGGACAGCACGCACCTTTATCCATCGGCAGGGCCTCCGCCTTGGCACCGCTCTTTTTGAAGATGTCGGTTTCTACCATGCCCGGGTGCAGAGTGACCGCGAACAGATTCGGGTTCTCCGCCGCGAGGAACTCGACGATTTTGGTCTGCGCCAGCTTGGACGCCATGTACGGCGACAGGCCGGGCACCATGGACACCGGCAGTGCCGTGGTACCGGTCGTCAAAGCGATGACAGACGCATGCGAGGGGTTAGCCGTGGGCAGGAACGACTTGGTTACCAGGTATGTGCCCTTGGTGTTCGTCTTTTTGTCACATGTGAGTATGGAGTCGCAGCTGGCGTGGGGAATCGTGCAGAGTCGCAACTGACCTCGAAGTTCAGCCACCATTCGTCGGAGGTGGACCCCGCGATGGTGGACGGGGGCGAGGTGTAGCCAGCGGTCAGGACAAGAATATCCCACTTGCCGATCGCGCCTGCCACCTTGATCAACGTCTCCTCGCTCGTGATATCGGTCACGAACGTCTCGGACTGAACAGACGGCGGCAGAGAGGACTTGGTGGTGCTTAACGCGCTCTCTGAGCGGCCAAGAAGAATGACTCGGGCCGCCCCGGCAGCAGCAAACGCTAGGGCAGTCTCTCGGCCAATTCCGCTCCCCTTTGGGATTGAACACAAGAGTTAGAGTTGATGATATACAGATGGAGGGGGGCTGGAGCTGTCTCTATCGGGACAAAAGCTGTGGGATGAACGGGGGGTTAAGTGAGGACGTACCGCTCCGACCACGACGGCCGTCTTCCCCGCTGCGCTCAGCTCCGGCCTGGAGGGGGAGATGGCATCGTAGGTGTCGTTGTGCCATGTCGGCGTGGCGGAGGGCAGAGGGGGTTGCATTTTGACTAACTGCTTTCAAAGGAGATAACGACCGAGGCAGTCTGGATCCTGGAAGTGGCGATATTCAGGTAAGAGTCGATATATTGGGGGAGGGCAATGAGCTACTACTGATGAGATGCAATCGAGCATCGCGAGCCCATGGCCCGTCTTTTATCCCCAGGAAACGGAACTCAAAAGCACATGTTGCCCAGCCCGCGAGCCCCACGCCGGACGGATTTAAGCAGCTGGGAGGTGCCTTAACGCAGCGACGGCGCCAGAACACAGCCCGACAGGAAGGCCTTTGGTGCGGGATAGCGTGCGGCGTCGAAAGAAGCCAGCGTTGCGCCTGTTGGATTGGTCTGATGGTCGCCAACGCAAGGTGCTGACCGGTTGACGACAGTACCTACATCCCCGCTGACAAACATAGACCAATACCAACGAGGCAGGCAGAGAGAGGGGAGGGGAGCACTGCTGCTGCTGATGAAACTCTTCAGCAGTGACACCTGTGCCTTGCATAAAATTACCGGAGACGCACCGCATCAGATGGCGGCCGTTAGGACTCGGTGCGACGCCACCAGCGGCCTTCGAGGCAAGGCGCGGCATTTGATTAGAAGGTCTACCGCGGTTGAACAGGCTTTGGGAAATGGCTCGCTGTAACAGGACAGCAGACGCGCTGAAGGTGGTGTTGCTGCTGCTGCATGCGAAGACTTGCAGACAGCCAGCCCTCTTCTCCTCTCTCACATGTGGGTGGGTCTCGGTCAGCTACGTTGGACAAGGGTGAGAAACTCTGATATATCAACTCGCAGAGACTCCACTTTGAAACTCCCCCACCTCCAAACCTGAGAGAGCACTTCCTGGAATGGGTTCCCACCCCTGCAATAACTGTCTAAAGCGGAGACTGGAAGTTGACGAAAGAGACAAGGGGCCTTGAACGTCGCAACCCTGGGGGTGGGCCGGGGTCAGTTGCGAGAGTTGTGGGGAGTTGCACAAAGTGATCCCTCTCTCTGCTCTATCTAATCTCTCCCAGCCCGGCCTCAAGAGAGAGGGAACCAGGTCCATCACGTAACATCATGCCGTGCGTTTCCCGATCACATCTGAGAACGCAGAGATGGACCCCCCTCTACCCTCGTCGAGAGTGGGAATCTATGATCCCCCATATCGATATTATCCACACGTGCAGCAACACCACGCGGATGGTTGGTCCTCCAAAGGACTAGAGATACTGGTATTGCTTTTCGCAGTGCAAGTCGTCGGCGAGGCAAGCGTGGTGGAGATGGGCTCATGCATTGTCTTGATTCATGTCATACTGTCATCCCATCTTTCTTTAACACTAGTGCAGCTGTGTCTCGATCAGATGAGGCATGGAAGGAGGTGTTTTCCTGCAGCTTTACCTTGACGGCGGGCAAAAAAGAAGCAAGCGCTAGGGAACTAATGGCACGGCAAAGTAAGGTACAGTATGCAAGTGCGGTACTTGGCATCTCATATGACCACATCCGAAGCTGGGAACTACCGCGAATAGGGTCACATCGACTGGTGTCTCATCGACCGGTCTCGTCCACTCTTTTTTCTGCGCCTCTACCGATATGTGATTGATAGTCACGGAGTCCACGTTTCGAAAGAAGGTGCTGCTGGTGGGATGGTTGTGGTGGGCAGCCGAAGCAAGGCTAAGCCAGCCCGTCCCCCATCGCTTCTCTCGGGTGTGTAAGATGTGGTCCATGGATTCGGGAGAAATAGTGTGTTAAGTGTGTTCGGGTCTTTTCCTGCTTGTGTGTGCGTGTGTGTGAGATAGATCGCTTGCGCCCTCCATAAGTTGGATGAATTCCCCCTCCTACCCGGAAAGTCTTGCGCCACGGCGGTTGTCGGCTGAGAAGACTGTTCAACTTTGAAGGTTTTGATTCGCACCAACAGACGTTCGCAAGCGCGCTTCTTACAATTTGTCCCGTTGGTTGGGATTCGGCTTCCGCTACTACTAATAATACGTGCTTGCTTGCCCACCATGCCTGGCGCTGGTTCGAGGGGCATTGCCCTGTTGGTATGGATCGTCGTCTTTACCGTCATTGACGCCGTGGCGTTGGCCCTGCGCTTCTGGGCCGGGCGCATTATGCGCAGAGGCTTCTACTGGGATGATGGAATGATTGGGTTCGCATTTGTATGTTGGACATCTTGTCTGTCTGCTTGGGCGCTGGCTGACTTGGACACAGGCAAACATCATTGCGCTTCAGGGTGTTGTCGTTTGGGCTATCTACAATGGCCTCGGCAAGCACACAGACGAACTTACTCTTCCCGAGTATGCGGTTCAGTTCAAGGTATGCTATCTACTTCATCTAAATCTTCATAGTCCTCAACTTACACCGTCATCCAGCTCATCCTCGCCAGTGGCGTCACCTGGCTCCTGGGAACCATCTTCATCAAGTTCGCCATCTTGTGGATGTACACGCGCATCTTCGCCACGGCCCAGTTCAAGCGCTGGTCGCGCATCCTGATGGGCGTCGTAGGAGCGTACGGCGTAGCCTTCCTCATCCTCTTCATGAGCCGCTGCACGCCCATGTCGCAGCAGTGGGCTCCCGTCGAGGGCGGCCACTGCCGTGACATCACCATCGACCAGATCGTCTCCGTTACCATCAACATCGTCGTCGACATCGCCATGACCGCCCTCCCGATGCCAGCGCTCTGGGGCCTTCAGATGCCTCTGCGGAACAAGGTTGCCGTCACCGCCATGTTTGGCATGGGAATCACGTAAGTCGCACACCTTAGCCATATCGATCGATTGGATCTCGACTAACACCCAGCAGCACCATCGCCATCATGGTCTGGCGCCTCATCAACACGGTCACCACCATCGGCGACCTCGACTTCGTCTACAACCTGCACGACATCGGCCTGATCAGCCTGCTGGAGCTCTGGATCGGCATCATCATCGCCTGCCTGCCCACGCTCGGCCCCCTGCTCAAGACCTACGTCAAGCCCGCCGTCTCCAAGATCGGCTCCAAGCTGACGAACCCGTCGACGGACCGCGGCAACATCCACCTGAAGGACCTGAACAGCACGCAGGGCAGCCGGGTGCACCACCCGCGCCGGACGTACGACAAGCTCGGCGACAACGTCTCGTACGTCGACCTGGAGCGCGGCAGCAAGGACCCCGCCGTCACGACAAAGTGCCACTACGCCCCAGGCGCCGACGCGCCCAGGGATAGCCGGCCGGTGATTTACGTCCAGCAGGACATTACCACTTCACAAGATTCGTGGGAGAGGAGACAAATATGAGGCGGTGCGGGATAGCCTGGATATGAGGGATGATTGTTCTATTACGAGACATGTTGTACATATTACCACTTCTTGACGTTTCATCTTCTTTGTTACAGTTCTCTCTGTTTCTTTTTTGTCGTTTTTCTTAAGTTTTACTCCCAACCTACTTGTTGTAGTTTATTTTCCCTAAACACACAAATACCCAATGATTCACAACCAGGATCTCAGATTGCTTGCATCAAAACCCTGAAGCACCGACACCGCGAATAACGCAGACCAAAAAAGACTTCCGGGAGATTTACCAATAGATCCCCCTTCCCATTACCCGCACACGAAGGCCACCTGGGCAGGCAAGCAAGCCAGCGGCAGGCCCAAAAACCGCACCCGCGGTCCTGTCGATCACCGCTTCGGAGAACGGCAGTTTGACTTTGGTTGGCGCCCAGAGGGGTTCTCGTCCCCAGGACATGGTCTCCCTTGCGAGAAAGAGGGCGGCGCGCGGATGGGCCAGGCCACGCACACGCAACCCAAGGGACCCAAAACCACGGCGGGGGTAGCCCACCTCCGGTCACACTCAGGATATCCCGACAGCGAGTCTGATGAATCGAAATGATGGGCGTGCGGCGTGTGTTTTGTCAACATCTCCGGTTAAGCTATCGGCCCCCCGCTTACATAGTCAAAGCAAAAGGGACGGCGATGGCAGCTATGGTCGCATCCGACGGGTACACGTGCGCAGAGTCTCGGATAAGGTGAGGGACAGAAGAGGAGAAGGAAGAGAGAGAGGCAAGAGATCATCGGAAGGCCCCCATATCGTGAATCGTCTGTGTGACTTACCTACACACGTCCCTTTTACCAATACCCGTTTCGCGGGTACCTTGCGAGAACGAGACGAACTGAGTCTGTGTGTGTCTGTTTCTCCACATATCTGGGTAAATTGTTCCCACTACCTGCCCTGTTCAACATAGTTTAGACGTCCATGGATCGCGTTATCTGAGAAACTTGCGAGTTTCTCTGGCTCTCGACGACTATTTCGCGCGGCATCATCCATGGGTCGAGGTTTAATCACGCTTGCTACGACATTGGTGTCGCACTACCGGTGAAGCTCAAGCGATCTCCATGGAGACTGACCGCATCACTAGAGGCACCTTTAATCCAAGAGGACGAAACCCACAGCAACATCCACAATGGCCCTACTCTAAAACCAAGAAAACCAAGGCCGCGGTTATTAGACTTTGGGAATGCGTGCCCCCGGCGTAAGGTAGCCAGGTTGAATGTGAACGGGGTGGAGTTTCGAACCCAAATCCACGCGCCAAATGCGACGAACTCTTAAACGGAAACCGCTTCAAGGAACGTTTCCCAACGGTGTCCCATGTTGGTAATTGCTTCACGGCTGCGCATGCGCATGCCATGCCAGCCATGCCACATGCCATCCCATGGCTCTGCTGCACTCAATATTGTCCACGAGGTTATTTGCCTCACCTCGTCGAGGTATGATCGCTCAGGGGGCTCTTGCATATTGCCATGCCGCCTGCCCGCTACGGCTTGCTGGCTGCGGTGCCCATCACATCCATGGCATGCGCGGGTTCTGCGTATGCCCTCACGAGGACCCCTTCATGGCCGGGGGGAGATGAAGACGACCCAGATGTACCCCCTAACAATTTAGACATGAAGGTCGTTCCTGGAGGACTCGGGCTCTCATCACGACCGTGACTGTGTCATGGACGTCGGTTGGATGGATGAAGCGGTGGACGTTTTGCCACGGTTCCCTGGGACAAAATGACCGACGATGGATAGAGTCGTTTTCTTGGGGTCCAGTCCAGTCCAGTCCAGACCCGACTTGTTGGAGGTTCCGCCTTTATCTAGAGCCCATGGAGACTTCTTTCAAAGGGCACATATGAATAGAACCATCTCCATCTTCTCCGAGCTGTCGTACCAGACTGTCGGATCACTCTCAGTCCACAACTCATCTCCCACCCCTTGAACAAAGCTCAAGACACTGCGGGAGACTTACATACACTCGCATACACTCATACATTACCCATCATGTCACAACCGGGTATTGGGGAGCACTCTCCCCTTACCTTCAAACGAGCCGCGTTTGAAGACGACGCAGCTCCCAGCAAGTCGTCGTCCTCCTCCTCATCAGCCACAAGCACAGTAAAGGCCCTCCTCGGCGTCCCCCGTCTGATCTGGGACTTTACCGAGAGCAATTTTTCCACCTTCGTGGCGCCCAACACCGCCTTCGGGCTCCTGGGCGGCCTGACCGGCTCGCCCCTGACCTCGGGGCAGGCGACGGCGCTCGCCGTGCTGCAGCGGTTCCCCCTCGTGGTCGCCTTCAACTGGTACAGCGTGCTCATCTTCGACCTGGCCAACCAGAGGGGCTCCGAGTCCGTGGCGGAGGACCGCGCGAACAAGCCGTGGCGGCCCATCCCCGCGGGCAAGGTCACGCAGGAGCAGACGCGCGCGGCGATGCTCGTGGCGATCCCCGCGGTGCTCGTCTTCAACTACGTGCTCGGCGTCTGGAGCGAGGGCGTCTTCATCCTCATCCTGACGTGGCTGTACAACGACCTCCGCGGCGGCGACACGCTCGCCCGCGACGCCATCATCGCGGTGGCGTACTTCCTCTTCAACACGGCCTCGCTCAAGATCGCCATAGGGGATGTTGCTGCTGCTGCTGCCTCAGAGGGCGGCAACAGCATCACGCGCGAGGGGTACCTGTGGGCGGGCATCATCAGCGCGGTGATCCTCACGACGATGCAGGTGCAGGACCTCAAGGACCAGGCGGGCGACGCGGGGCGCGGACGCAACACGATACCCCTATTCTTCGGGGATTCTGCGTCGCGGGCGTCGCTGGCGGTGCTGGTACCGGCGTGGTCGTGCGTGTGCGTGTACTTCTGGGGCATCCGGTCGTGGGGGGTGCTGCTGCCGGTGGTGTCTGGCGCCCTGGTGGTTGTCGGGGTGCTCCGGACGAGGACGCCGGAAACGGACGCCCGGGCATGGAGGCTGTGGTGCCTGTGGACGGTGTGTCTGTACTCCCTACCGCTGTTCGGCGGTGCAGTTGGTGGTGGTGGTGACGGTTTCGTGTCGTTGGAGCACGTGTGAGAAGTGACTGATGAGACGGAGGACTGTCACTTTCACTGGGCTTGTTGCTGGGCCTGCTGGCAACGCGTTATTTTCCGGGCTCTCTTGCGGCGGGTTGCCCTCTGCTTCCGTGTGAGAAGGAGTTGGTTGTGGCAGGAGGAACAAGTTGGAACCCTTGCCGATGCTGTCGAGTGCGAGTCATGGAGATGGACAGGACCGCGGATAAGACTCGGGCGAATGCTGATTGAGTTGAGGGGGCGAGAGGTTGTTATCGAATAGTTGACGTGCGTGATCTGGGTTGAACAGGGGTCACGAGTCAAGCAGTGGCAGGGAGCGGCCCGCGGGAGGCCGGGGTCTTGGAGCGCAACAACAGGGGCGTTGGATGAACACTTATTCATGACAGCCTGCTTTAGTGTAGAGTTACCGGAGGAAAGGCACCGACTAGCAGCAGAATTCACTCACATTAGCTTTGGACGAGACGATGCGATTTGGCTCCGATGTTGTCAGACGGGAAGGATCACTTAGCTCCCCTCCTCTACGGTGTTTTAGTGTGCCAGTTGGCTGGTGTTCATCGGCCGTCGGATGTAGTTATCACACGGGGCTTAGAGACGCCGGCCTATTGGTCTGTCCTCGCCGTTGCGGGCTCGGGTCTCGTCCGTCAACCCGGAGGGCCCGGGGTAAACCCTCCTCCATGCGGTGCCACCAGGTCCAACTGCCACCTGCATTCAACCTTGTTGCTGCAACCACACACGCTGCACGTTTGGATGAACCGTATGACAAGCATTCTCCTTCCTCTCTAGCACTATGTTCTAACACCTTTTTGCAGTTAGAGGCGGCCGCACCACTGGGGACGCTTGGCGTGCTGCGTACGCACGCATGCACCACCAGCGAGGTCCCCTGCCCGGATCCGATGCGTGTTAGTGCAAAAGGCTCTTGTCTATCCGTCTGTCTGCTCTTGTCAACTTGGCAGATAACGTTCAATCCTTGCTCATCCCACAACACGCGTGTCAGGGACGACCCCTAAAGAGCAATGTTGCGATGTTACCTGCCTATATTAGCTCACATGAGCTGTTGGGACCTCAGTCGTATGCCTACCACCTAGAGCCACCGTCTGTGAGTCTCCGCATCTGGGAACTGTTCCGTGGCCCGGCTGTCTGTTGCGGCAAGCCCGACCTGCTCGGCCCCTCGGGCTCCCTCTCTTCTTCTCTCTTGAGTCCTTTCCCCCCTCTTTCAGTCCGCTTCAGTCCGTTTAAGGCATGCACAACTGATGACTTAGCCACGCGGCTCCCGTCTACCGGCCTTGTCACGGTCAATCTTTCTCTCGAACTCGCCAGCCTGCGCAGGGAGCAGAGTCAGGCCCGCCGCAGCGTAGGACCATTCCGTCCCAATAGCTGAAAAGTTTCTTTCCCCGAACATCGCACAGGCGTAGGCATCGTGGGCCATAAGAGCCAATATTAACATGGGTGCTAATCAAACCCATCGTCAGAGTCTCCCGGTCTGGTCGGCATCTCATTTCCTGTCTGTATGCGTTGTTTATGGTTCGTGAGTGAAGAAGACCTTGGGCCAAGTTAAATATGTAGCTTTCAAGACCTAGAGTTGCATCGTGAAGTCTCCTTCCCTTCCCTTCCTCACCTCCCTCACCTCCAGTCTCTCGCTACCCCCTTTGTGCTCGCGGCGGTTCTCCCAGTCCAAGATGGTGTCCTTCATTAACCTCCTCACACTCGCTCCGGCGGTCGTTTCCGCCCTCTCCGTCGGCAAGCCGGGAGGCTCCTTCGGCAGCCCCCTCGAAGAGAGGGAGGACTCAAACGCCACCTGCCGCTGCTTCCCCGGCGACGACTGCTGGCCCACGGCAGCCGAGTGGAACGCCTTCAACACCACCGTTGGCGGCCGTCTCATCGCCACCGTGCCCATCGGCGCCGTCTGCCATGACAGCTCCTTCGGCTCATACGACGAGGCCAAGTGCACGGCGCTGCAGAACGCCTGGGGCCAGTCCGAGACGCACATCCAGACCTCCTCGTCCGTCATGGCCGCCTTCTTCGCCAACTCCAGCTGCGACCCCTTCAACCAGCCCACCGACCGCTGCATCATCGGCACCTATGTCCAGTACGCTGTGAAGGCGACCAGCGCCGCGGACTACAGCGCCACCATCAAGTTCGCCCAGGAGAACAACATCCGCCTCGTCATTCGCAACACCGGTCACGATTACCTTGGCAAGTCCACCGGTGCCGGGGGTCTGGCTCTGTGGACTCACAACCTCAAGGACATCTCAGTCATTGACTACAAGTCTACTGGCTACACCGGCAAGGCTGTCAAGGTTGGTGCCGGTGTTCAAGCCGGCGAGGCCCAGGCCGCTGCTCACGCTCAGGGACTCGTTGTTGTCGGCGGAAACAGCCCCACTGTTGGACTCGCGGGAGGATACACCCAAGGCGGTGGCCACGGTCCTCTTGTTTCCAAGTACGGTCTTGGAGCTGACCAGGTTCTCGAGTGGGAGGTTGTCACTTCTGGAGGCCAGACGATTGTCGCGACTCCCACCGCTTACTCTGACCTCTACTGGGCTCTGAGCGGTGGCGGCGGCGGTGTCTACGCTGCCGTCCTGTCCATGACCGTCAAGGCTTACCCTGACATGATCACCTCGTCTGCCAACTTGACCTTCACCAACACCGGTGTCACCGACGATGTCTTCTACGGCGCCGTCACCACCTACCTCAAGACCCTGCCTGACATCGTCGACGCCGGCGCCGTCAGCATTTGGCTCATGAGCCCCGGTGTCTTCCTCATGCAGCCCACCACCGCTCCCGGCCTCACCAAGGCTGAGCTCCAGGCTCTGCTGCAGCCCACCATCGATGCCCTCGACGCCGCTGGCATCACCTACGGTAAGCTGTCTCGCTGAACTTTTGTTGAGTACCTCGTGCTAATGTCACTCAGACTACCACATCAACCAGTACGACACGTACCTGGACAGCTACAACGACATGAACCCCGAGCCTGCCGTCACGGAGTTCAACATCGGCGGCCGTCTGATGCCCCGCACCCTCGTCGCCGATGACGCCTCCGCCACTACGCTCACCACCGCCCTCAAGTCCATCCTCGACAACGGCGCCATCATCTCCGGCCTGACCATCAACGTCGCCCGCGACGCCAGCGCCACCCCCAACGCCGTCAACCCCGCCTGGCGTACGGCCCTCTTCTCCGCCGTCGTCGGAACGTGAGTAACCCCTATCTTCCCCTCCTTTCTGAAAGCCAGACATACTAACAAAACGCAGTGCCTACGACCGCGCCGACTTCTCCACCCTCGTCTCCGGCCAGACCACCGTCACCGACACCATCGTGCCCATCCTGGCCGAGCTCACCCCCGGCGGCGGCGCCTACCTCAACGAGGCCGACCGCAACCAGGCCGACTGGCAGGAGGTCTTCTACGGCGGCAACTACGCCAAGCTCAAGGCCATCAAGAAGATCTACGACCCCTGCAGCACCTTCTACGCTCTGACCGGCGTCGGCAGCGACGACTGGACTGTCCAGAGCGACGGACGTCTCTGCAAGGCGTAGACGTTGGAGGGGCGACGAGTGATGATGACAAGAGGATGACAAGAGGCAGTTACTTTGCATAGCGTTTCATAATCGTATATAATACAATTCAATCTTCTTGCCTCAGTATGTTTGTCTGGTGTCAGTGAATGGCCACGATGGCCTATCAACAGTTCTGGGAGGAGGCAACTACTCCAGTATTTGAACGGAGCTCCTCAGGTTCAGACAATGACAAATGGTCTTAAAAACAATTGTTTCGGGGTGTCCTCATGTACAACTCAGTTTGTTGAAGGCAGCCATACCAAGTTCTTGAAGCCAGTGCTCGATATGAGACAACTTCAGCCCAGGCAAAGTGCAGTGGGATGAGTCAACTAAGAGGGTTCTTCTATCTGAAATTTGAAGAGAAACAAGCCCCATGTTCTACGCCGTGAGTATGTAGTTACATACTAGTGGGTTCGATCTAGATATCTGCAACGTAACACATTGGAATATCTGAACAAACGCCTGAGATATGCCCCAACTTTCAAAATCCAAAGACTTTCAAAGAAGGCAACAGATACATCAACCCAGCCCAGACACACCAAAGCTTCCAAACAATTTCATCGTCATCCATAGTTCTTCTCCAGAGCGTTCCACATACCATAGACAACCCAAGTCCCAGAACAATCACGTAGCTAGCCCAACCGAGTCCCCAGAACATCGGAAGGAATACAGACCACAACATGGCCCCCGCCGCCAAAGTCCACCTCGCAACTCCGTCCCCGTAGACAAGCGGCACCGTCTTCCTCCCCCTCGCACTATCACCAACAACATCTGGCAAGTCCTGGGCATGTATTGTCGTGAGAACAACGGCACCCGTCGTCAATATCCATACTACTGCCGCATTTTTCAGGCCATACTCAACCGTCCCGCCCGTAATCGCCAGGGCTCCCGCAGAAAACGCCATGAGACCCAAGGCATTTGCCACGTTCCGCCACCATATGCTCGTGTCAGCAGCGTCGAGATCATTGTACATCCACACAAACGAAATGAAACTCGTCGTCTCGCGAAAAGCGCCGCTATATGCCCCGAAGACCATGAGCGCTGGCACGAGATAGAGCGCGATCTGTCTGGTTTGGTCTGCCGTTATCCGGCCCGATGGCAGGGGTCGCCAGGGCTTGTTGGCGGCATCTTCAATCATGGAGCCCGGAAGACGTTGGTTTGCGAGATTCTCGAGAAGAAGATTGGCATAGATCCAAATCACAGCGTGTATCAGGGGCTTGAAGGTGGCCAAAGTGAGAGTGGGCGGGGTGTCGAGGTCCCGGAAGCCGTTGGTAAGAATGCTGGAAATCGCGAAGAGCATTTGCGGAAGTACGACTGTCTTACAGTCGCTTTTTGTGAAGAGATAGAGCGTTTTGAGGTGGTAAACCGGAGATCGTCGGGACCTCGAAAGCGTTTCCTGCAAGAAGGTCAGTATAGTTCACATGTGCAACTGAGATTGAGTTCATAGGTTGACATGTCGCCAAGGAGTCACCACTGCCTACCTTTTCATCAAGATGGAAGCCCATTAATTCTTCTTCCATGATGAGAATGGGGCAGCTTTCGGCATTGATTTTGCTCATTTTTTTAATCCTTCAAGCAGAACGAAGACTTTAGGGGGTCTCATCAATCTGCAATGGCCTGCTTGAACACTTCTCGCCATCTTCAGGAGTTTTAGGGAAGATGATGTGTTTTTATACACACAGTTTAGACTGTCTTGTACCTTCAACTTCCATAGCTACCTGTCCCAATGAAAGTGTAGTTCAAGCTCCAACTGGGATTGGGAACAGCCACCGGAGCTTGGTGTCAGCATTTGTCTTGGCTACTACCTGTAACTGCCATAGATGGTAAAGTCGATTCCTTTTGTCAGCTACAGCCCTACCTAGAGGCTTGTCAACTTCGGCACCGGTCGAATCAATGAATGATACTGTTCATGCACGCTATTGAAACGGTGTTGAGAAATCTCGGGACAAGATCCCACTTTCGGACAAGTTGTGAGGCAAGCGACACCTTCAAGTCACGCAATGCCTAGCAAACAGATGACTAGTTTTAATGCGGCTGAGGTCTAGAACTCGGATGTCTGGTGAGCTGAGCTTGGCCACAGACCCCCAACTCACGTTGCCCTCATACTCAGCTTACCTCATATTGCACCTTACGCTTTTACACCTTCACTGCTGCCTGGAAGCTTGATACTTAGATTAGATGCCTGGATTGCCATTGGCGCTGTCGGACTTGCCTCAATCCAACTGGTTCAGCTGATCAACCAATTGACCATTGGTGTGAGTGGCTACCAGGGATCACAGGTTCGGAGCCCGGTCCTCTCTCTCTCTCTTTTTTGTTTTCTCTTTTTTCTTCCTTCTGCTATTTCTTGGGGCATGTTATTTATTTCCCTCACCCTCTTTACTTTTTCAATGGACGGATGGATATGATGAGCTCTCCAGTTCGCAGGCGACTCTCAACGGCCTGTTTCAGGCCATGGAAACGCCCCAATATGTAATGACGAAGACTAAAGGAGAGAGATGATTGGTCCTGTTGGTCTTTTCTGCGTAAACCATATTCTATAAAGACACGGAAGAAAATTTCAATGGCGACGACGGCGACGACGACGATGATGGCGACAATGACAACAAAGAACATGACTACATCTCAAGCACAAAGACGACGACAAGACAGCACAGTTCACGATAAACGACATCAGCTCTTTGTGGGAACCTCCCTTTCATACCTAGTACGCTACCAAAGAGCAACTGCAAAGCGTCTGTAGCTACACAACGGCGAATCAAGCCCAACCTTGTCTGGGTATCCTTGGCCCAATTGTCCATACACCAAACCTGAACCTGTTCGTCCAAAAGCAAGTCTCAATACACGTAGCCACTCGGTCCAACCTTTACTCCCGTTGCCAATACTCTGTCGCAAAAGTTCCACCAAAAGTAGCTGCCCGCGACGGGTATCCCTCACTTGTCGGCAGGCTTGCCCTCAGCCTCAGTCTCGGCCTCGCGCTCGGCGTCGGCCATGGCAGCGAGCTTCTCGGCGGCCTTGACGGGGACCTTGATGCGGATCATTCTGCGGACGGGCTTGTCAGCATCATCGACGGCGGGCTTTCCACCATCCTTGTCGAGGTTCTTGTCGATGACCTTCTTGTTCTCCATGCCATGGCCCTTGACACCAGTCTCGCCACCCTCCGCGTCGACAGCCTTCTCAGTCTCCTTGCCAGAGGTCTTGGCCTCAGTCTTGTCAGCCTTCTTGGCAGTGGTCTTGTTCTTGCTGCCAACGGGTCTGCCTCTGCGACGAGGCTTCGTCTCGGTCTCAGTCTTCTCGGCGGTGGGCTTGGTGGCACGCTTAGGCTGAGGGTCCTTGCGAGCGCGCTTAGCCAGGGGCTCATCCTCCGAGTCGGAGCTGGAGCTGGAGTCGTCAGAGTCGTCGACGACGATGACCTCGAAGGGCTGCTTCGGGGCGGGCCTAGCAGCCGGCTGCGCAGCATCAGGATGAGGAGCAGAACGCTTGACGCCAGCGGGAGGATTAAAATCCTTGGACTGCTCGGGGGCGCCCTTGGTGGCGGGCTCAGGGGCAGGACGCTTGAAACCGGCGGCCGGGTTGACGTACTTCGAGCCTGCAAGAATATGACCGATGCTGTTGTCGCCCGGTGGGTAAGCGGCAGCCTCCTTGAGAGCCTTGTCATTGTGAACCTCGATCATCGCGCTCCCAAGCACAGATTGGTACATATAGTCAACGGATGATGGGCTTCCGCGGATGGCAGGCAAGTTCCACTTGTCTCTGCTTCCAAACATGACACTGTCCTCGCGATTCCTGACTGCTCTCACGGCTGCCTCTTTGGCCATACGTCCCTCGTTGCGGATTCTGTGCTGAACAAAGGATAGGACGTCCATGGGGGCGCGGGCATCGTTCTTGCCGTACTGCTCCAGGTGCTCGACCCATGCAAATATCATCTTCCAGGCGGTCCACTTCTTGGCGACATACTCCTCCACATGCCGGCCTCGCATGATGGGATGGATATAAACCTTCACTGTCGGGATTCCAACAGCACCGACGATCCAGCAGTCGAGGTAACGGCACAGGATTGGCGAGTGAGGGTTGACATGGATGGCGGGGTCCATGCCAGGAGGCAGAGGAATCTCCCAGGGGCCACAGCCCTGGAGCTTGGGAGCCTCAGAGATGCTACCGTCGGCGGTATCGCGGAACCAGTGGTCTAGAATGACAACTGCAGGGTCAGGAGGTGTCTCAAAGGACTGACCGGGGCGTCTTCCACAGAGGGTGAGCTGTTGACCTAGGCCGTTCGCCAGGAGGCTGGCCGGAGCGCCTTTCTGAGCGGTCTGGATGGTGTCATGAGAAGGCTGGGGGGTGAGAAGGCCGTTGGTGTTGATGGTTGTCGAAGCAGCTTGCTTCAGAGGAACGACAGAAGATGAAGCAACAGTATTATTGGTCTTGATGGTCAAGCCGACGGGGTTCTTATCCTTCTCGACAGTCTTGACAATGTTACCGCCATCGGCGGCCTGAGAAAGAGGCACCTTGTCGATAGTGACCTTCTCAGAGAGTTTCTCGGGCTGAGTTGAGAAAGACTGGGTACGGGAAGCGGAGGTATCAGCCTTGGCCTGAGTCTGCTGAGTCTTGACGAACCGGACCTTCTTCTTGATAGCAGCAGCGGGAGTAGCGGGCCCGCGAGGCGAAAGGGGGGAAGCAGGCTGGCTTCGAGTATGGTGTCTTCTAACGCCACTACCAACGCCACTACGACCGGGGCTGTGTCGGACTGGTCTGTGGAAGGGCATATTGGTGTCGATGGACAATCTTGTGCAAATAAAGGAGCGAATTTGTGTCTGGTGGTATGTTAGGGCAGCATTCTGGAGGATGACCTCGCCGTCTTTCGCCTCGGCAATGGGGATTTGGGACAGGCAAGAACATTTGGAAAATTGACCAAAGGAAAAAAAACAAGAGGATGCTCAAATTGACTCCTGAACTGAAGACGGAGGTCATGAACCGACAGCAGAGATGAAGTCGACGAGAGGCGCATTGCCGACGGTTGAAGCCGTCAACGCCACGCCGACGTCCACCAAAATCGCGACCGCAATAAAAATGTGACGCAAAAAAAGATTGAAGCCGAGGATATCACTCGGTGATCCAGATCTCGTGGGCTTGAGGGGAGTTTCTTACCTTATCAGCCCGTCGACTTGTGAGACAACGGGTGGTGTTTGCTCGGTTTGTTTGCCCTCGACAGCAAACAAGGCAAGATCGCGACGTGTTTCTGGAAAAAGATCGAACTCGCCAGAGAGAAGTAGAGGATAGAAAACAAAAAGGGCATTGACTGCTTGCTAGACCCGCCAGCAACCCTTCTCACCCCCCTCACCCCGCGAGGTGGCTGATCAAGGGTGGTGCTGGGGGCTCACGATGTTTGCCCTAATAGTCTATGAGGCGAGTGCCAGTCTTACCCGTTGCAGTGACTTCTTTCCTTCCTCAGAAAGTCAGAAAGAACTTGGTTGATGGGAGAAGACCATGGGGACAGTTGTCAGGTAGATAGAAGGGCAACTAAATGATGCGAATAGGGATCATAGGAATGGGAGAGATGGAAAAGAAGCCAGCAAAAGCAGATTCTCTTTGAGAATTGAAGTCAATCATCTGAAACGCCACGAAATCCTATGAGTGTTCTGTCATAAATATGCCGATGCTGCGTAGGATGGTTCGGTTGGAATGCCACCGGTCTGTTCATTGTTCTGGCCAGACCGACTTACAGATTTCATGCTTGAAGTTGACAAATTTGCGAGATAACAGACTTTCTAAATTCTTATCAAGGAACCAAATCAATTGAAGAGTATTCCGCTATCTGGCTTAGCTACCTCTGCGGGACAGGGTGGGTGACGTGCAAGGACGAAGGCCAGGAGTGCGGAGAGGTCGGGTGCCAGAGATCACCATTCTAAGCAACCGTCGGTATTTATCGCAGAGTCCAGAGACCCTCCTTTTAGCAAGCCGAGACCTTCCTTCTGCCTCTGACGGAAGTGTGACTTTCAGAAACAACAAGAATACTGCTTCAGCTTGGGTGAAGATCTGAGACACCAGGAGCGAGAAACACACGTCTGCAGAGCCTCCATCGCTCTCTACAGCTGGAAATGGCTGTGATGAATCACTATGGATCTCGTACGATGAGAGGGAATGCCCTTTTTATGCACTTGAGTGCCGTCCCGAGGAGGAAGGATAAGACTAAATTTGTCGAAACGAAAAACAAAGGGCAAAAAGCCGACAAAAATAAAATAAGAAAGTGAACCGACACAGAATCGAACCCAGGTATTGAGAGGATAAACGTGATCTCTGTGTTTCAGCTGGTGTATCTGCAGTACCATTACTGGGCATATTCACGGCCACTTACTCCTGCAGATTATTGGGAGAGCAGGTCGTCGACCGCTACATCGACCCTCTCGGCAGCTTTCGCCTCAGCCGTCTTCACTGTGCGACCCAGCATCTCAGAATACCGCCATCAAGGAAAATCAAACCCCCAACCCCACGATCGCGATCACGATCCCCTCAACCCCGGCCCACCACACCGAGCCCAGGACCCCTCGGTGAACCGTCCCGTCATACCCACAAGGGTACCCCATGAACCTTGAGACCCAGAAAATGGATCCTCGGTCCCAGAACCCCGAAAGACCCGACCAAAACCCCCACCCAAAAACGCATCTCGGAAAATTGCAGTCGCAAAATCACTGCAAACCCATCACAAGGGACAAAAAAATATGCGCCTCCCCAGAGCAGCTGCAACTGTTGCTCCCCAATCACTCCCCAGAATCCGACCCCTGGCGATCCCCAAAACCAGAAACCCGGCCCGGGCAACACCTCCAGCTCCACACTCACCGAGGCCGTCTCCGACAACGCCGCCAGCGCCGTTGTCTGCTCGCCCGCCATGGCGTCCTCGTCGCTGTTGTCGTCCCGCGCTACTCAGCAAGCAGCCGTTGAATCGCAGCAGCAGCAGCACATGCAGCGAGACACAACGCCAGCAACCCCTCAATTCTTCCTCCAATCACACCGCCCCGCCCGCTAACCTGCCCGACGTCATCCCCCGTCCGCGCCAGTCCGTCCGAAATTTGAATTCGACCACCCTGGCGATCCTGAGAAAGCATGCGTCTATTAGCACGACTAGCACCACAGCCGCATATTGCTACCACAACCACCATCCCGGCACCGCTGCTGCTGCCGCCCCACGACGAGCTGCTGCTGACAGCTCCCGTCCCATCCACACCCTGACCTCTGGCGCTGCTGCATCAATCCAGACCGAGCTGCTCCATCGCAGGTCCCAGACCAGCGGGACGACGCGGGCCACGCCTCCCGGGAATATTTCTCACCACCAGCCTCGGCCGACGGCATATTTAACCAGGTACTTACTTCACCTTTGCCTCTTCCCCGTTTCCCCATTGTAAAATTCCCACGCCCCGCCATCCAAGTCCATTGCTTCCGCGCCTTCGAGCTAAACACCCCCATCGTCAAATCTGCATCGGCGCGCGTGATACCCCCCCTTCCCCATAGCCCCAGCCTTCATTGCCTCTTCTTATACCCATCCCTCCTGTTGCCCTCCCCTTTCACGACTTCTTCCCCAAACTCACACAAACCAACCACAGATCCAAACACACAATGTCCGACCAACGAGACCCCAAACGCGCCCGCGTCGCCGCCGCCGAGGGCGAGCACCTCCCCGCGGGCATCACCGAGACCGACGAAGAGCTCCAGAAACACTGGTTCGTGGGCAGCATCGACCAAGGCACCACCTCCACCCGCTTCCTCATCTTCAACGGCCTCGGCGACCCCGTCGCCATGCACCAGATCGAGTTTGAGAACCACTATCCTCACTCAGGGTAAGCCCTCCCTTCTTCCTCCTCCTCTCCCGTCGTCCTCACTAACACACCTCCCCTAAACAGATGGCACGAACACGACCCCCTGGAGCTCCTCTCCTCCGTCGAGGAATGCATTTCCGCCGCCCTCGCCAAATTCACCGCCCTCGGCCACCCGGCCTCCGCCATCCGCGGCGTCGGCATCACCAACCAGCGCGAGACCACCGTCCTCTGGGACGCCCGCACCGGCGAGCCCCTCCACAACGCCATCGTCTGGCCCGACACCCGCACCGCCCCCCTCGTCCGCGACCTCCGCGCCCGCCCCGGCGCAGACGCCCTCCAGCCCCTCTGCGGCCTGCCCCTCTCCACCTACCCGTCCTCCGTCAAGCTGCGCTGGGCCCTCGACAACCTCCCCCGCGTCCGCGACGCCTACGACGCCGGCCACCTCGCCTTCGGCACCGTCGACTCCTGGCTCATCTACCGCCTCAACGGCGGCGCCTCCGCCTCGCCCCAAATCCACGTCACCGACTCCACAAACGCCTCCCGCACAATGTTCATGAACCTCCACAACCTCAAATACGACCCCTCCCTGCTCTCCTTCTTCGACATCGACCCTGCCAAAATCGCCCTCCCCAAAATCGTCCCCTCCTCCCACCCGACCGCCTTCGGCAAGCTCGCCTCGGGCCCCCTCGCCGGCGTCCCCATCGCAGGCTGCCTCGGCGACCAGTCCTCCGCCCTCGTCGGCCAGTGCGGCTTCCTCCCGGGCCAGGCCAAAAACACCTACGGCACCGGCTGCTTCCTCCTCTACAACGTCGGCCACGAGCCCGTCATCTCCAAGTCGGGCCTCCTCGCCACCGTCGCCTACGACTTCGGAAACAACCGCAAGCCCGTCTACGCCCTCGAGGGCTCCATCGCCGTCGCCGGCTCCGGCGTGAAATTCCTCGTCAAGAACCTCAACTTCGTCGACGACGCAACCCGCATCTCCGACCTCGCCGCCTCCGTCCCAGACAACGGCGGCGTCGTCTTCGTCACCGCCTTCTCCGGCCTCTTCGCGCCCTACTGGATCGACGACGCAAAGGGCACCCTCTTCGGCATCACCCAGCACACCCAAAAGGGCCACATCGCCCGCGCCACCCTCGAGGCGACCTGCTACCAGACGAAAGCCATCCTCGACGCCATGGCCAAGGACTCGGGCCACGCCCTCGAGTCCCTCGCCGTCGACGGCGGCCTATCCAACTCGGACCTGTGCATGCAGGCCCAGGCCGACATCAGCGGCATCCGCGTCGACCGCCCCGCCATGCGCGAGACCACCGCCCTCGGCGCCGCCATCGCCGCCGGCCTCGCGCTGGGCGTGTGGAACGAGCTCGACGACCTGAAGAACGTCAACCAGACCGGCCGCAAGGTGTTCACGCCATCGGCAGAGCGCGAGAAGAACCTGAAAATGTTCAAAAAGTGGGAGCAGGCGGTCGAAATGTCGAGGGGCTGGGTGCGTGACAATCTAGAATAAGAATCTGACCTTGAATGTTTTTGTTTCTGGAAACGGAGTTGGATGTATAGAAGAATAGAAAAAGCGTGGGATGATATCAGGAATGTTTGGTTAGATGGATACCTATCAAGTCAGTTGGTCTGCCCACTTGGGGAACGTGCAACGTCATTCGCCAGAGACCCGACCAGTCGTTCGACACTCGCAGGATAGACGCATAACACATACACAACACAATAAGATCTGGGGCACAATCCACAGGTATCGTCTTTATTGTCATCTGTCTCAGAGGTAACCCACAATTCGGGCCCCTCCGTGCACGGCTGATCGAGGCATATCCATCACGGGCATGTTCCTCGACACCGTTCTCTGCAATCGTAGCAAATGGGACAATCATCTTCCCAAGAAAAAAAAAGTTGTGTGAAAAAACATTGCAAAGCCAAGTGCTTTTCGTGCTCGCCAAATGGATTCCCCC